CTATTTGTCTTCAAAACTTAAATAGGGGGGCCAGTGCTGTGGCATAGTGGGTAAAGCTGCCACCTATAGAGCTGGCATCCCTTATGGGTGCCGGCTCGAGTCTTGGCTGCACCACTTCCGATCCAGCTCTCTGCTATGGCCTAGGAAAGCAGTGGAAGATGGCTCCAGTCCTTGGGCCTCTGAACCCACGTGGGAGATCAAGAAGCTCCTGGCTCCTGGCTTTAGATCGGCCCAGCTCATCATTGTGGCCACTTGGGGAGTGAACAAGTGGACGGAAGACCCCTCTGTGTCTCTGCCTCTCTGTAACTCTGCCTTTCAAGTAAATACATCTTAAAAAAAATAAAAAAACTTAAATAGAATTTTATTTAATTTTGTTTATTTAAAAGGCAGAGCAACAGAGAGGTGGGTGGTGGGTGGGATGAGGGAGAGACATAATGATCTTGTTTTCATTGGTTCACCCGCACAAATGGCTACAACAGTCAAGTCTGGGGCAGGCTAAAGCCAGGGGCTAGGACATCCTGGTGTCCCAAATAGGTGCTTAGGCCATATTCTGCATAGGCACGTTAGCAGGAAGCTGGATTGGAGGCAAAGCAGCCCAGACTCACATCAGCACTCTGATACAGGATTCCAGTGTTGACAGTAGCAGCTTAGCCCACTGAGCTACAACATTAACCCCTCCATGAAGTTTTAAATGCATCATTCTACATTACAATAGAGTTTTAGGTACAAATATAATTGAACTGTTAGTGCCCCCTAAAGACCACAGGGAACACACCCATAGCAAGCAAGTTGAGTCAGTTAGTCCTGGAAACAGTGGGAGGCTGCTTTGTAGGAAGGTTGGGCTTGTTCCGAGTTGGGTGTTGTCAGGGGCAGTTCTGGGTAGCTCTGTAGCCGTTATCTAGAATGCAGGCGGGCTAGAGGGAAACTGAAGCTATGGTGGTACGGCCACAGCAGTTGGCCAGAGTAGGGGGGCAGTTGGTGATTTCTGTGGTTTGCAAAATGCTCATGTTCTGACTGTTCGGACATGATTACAGAGTGCTCTCGTTTTAGTCGTGAGTCCTCATGACCACAGAGTGGCCTTATCAATGTTATCTACTTCCCTGTAGGATAAAAGAGCCTATGAGCTAACTGCAAATTGCCAAACCACCCCTCCGCCCAAAAAAAAACCCACCCAAACTGGAAGGGTTGCAAAACCCGTAACTGTTCTAAACAGCAACTTAAAATTTAAGTTCTCAACTTTCAGATGTTACAATTTTTAAATAATTCTTCTCTGTTGCAGTAGGAACCATCGAAGGTTTTCAGTGTTCACCCTACCCTGAAGTCGATCAGTTTGTTCTTTCCTTGGTGACTAAAAATGACATTAAAGGAGGTACAACTCATCTTATTTTTTATTAACTGTTATAGGATAGAGTCATGATATCTTTAGAAACATTCTTATATTTTAGGAATTAGGCGTTGGAGCTACTTTTTCCCAGAACAGTTGTTGGTTTATGATATTTTCAAATATCGCTGGTGTGAGAACATTGGAAGAGCCCACAAGAGTAATAACATCATGTAAGTAATTTTGTTTATTAATGCTGAGATGTATTCTGAATGTTTATAACTTTTTTTTTAAAGATTGTTTTTAAATTTATTTGAGAGGCAGAGTTAGAGAGATGGAGAGACAGAGGTCTTCCATCCACTGGTTCACTCCCCAAAAGGCTGCAATGGCAGGAACAGAGGTGATGAGGAGCCTGGAGCCAGAAGCTTCTTCTGAGTCTCGTACATAGAAGCAGGGGTCCACTGCTTTCCCAGGCCATAAGCAGGGAGCTGGATCGGAAGAGAAGTAGCCAGGACACAACTGGTGCCCATTTGGGATGCTGATGCTGCAGGTGGAAGCTTAGCCTACTAAGCCACAGCACTGGCCCCATGTTTACAACTTTGAGATAAAGCTGACAATATAAAAATGTAACAAGTTAAACTAATTAGATTATTACGTTTGTTGGGGTTTATAATATTCAGAGATCTTATTACATTGCTTCTAACATAAGGCAGCTTTATTTGTCCTTTGATAAAATGACATAGTCTATAATCTTGAAGACTGAAGTAGATTAAGGACTAAAAAGCAAGCAGCAGGCAGGGAGTGGATGTGATGAAAAGGGTGTTCTAGATACCTGTGGAAGTGATTGAAACTGGGCCGATTACGGCAAGACGACAACTCCTCAGTGCTACAGAGCTGGAGGTTAAGGCTGTGTTAACTGAATATAGATAAATCACACATTACTGAACTATTGGATGCTTGTTAGAAATGCCAGGCCCTGTTTTAGGTAATTTTTTAAAATGCTCCTGGCAAAACAAGAGGAAGTAAAAAGATGAAGTAAAACTAGAAATATAATTTAAAATAATAAAGGGATATAGACAGAAGGGGAATAAAACAGAAATCTAGTTACAACATGGGAAATGTTAATGTCAAAGCTGATACTCTTACATAGCACATGTGCTAGAAGGGGGAGATGATCCAAGTGTGTGTTGGAAAATGTGTGGCATGATTCAGTGCTATGGTTGATATTCTTAAATTAAAAACAATCTTGAAAAGCTCTATTCTTGGGCCACTGTTGTGGCCTCGCACAGTAAGCTGCAGCTTGCAGTGCTGCTGTTCCATGCCAGAGCACCAGTTCAAGTCCTGGCTGCTCTCCTGTCCGTCTAAAGCGCCTGGGAAAGCAGCAGATGGCCCAAGAGCTTGGGTCTGTCACCCGTGAGGGAGATCTGGGTGGAGTTCCAGGCTCCTGGCTTTGGCAGTTTGTAGCCACACTGGGAAAGAGCCAGTGTGGATAGAATCTCTGTTGCTTCCATGTGTGTTTCCCTCTCTCCCTCCCTCTCTTTAAAAATAAATAAATCTTAGAATTATATGCTCAATACACCAAGCTGTCACCAAAAAAGATCCCCACAGTCCTATAACCCAGTGAAAACTAGTTAGCACTGATGCATCTTTCTAGTCTTCTGTGCGTGGACATTTACAAAAAAAATAAGATTATATCCAATTATTTTTAGCTGTGAAATATTACATGTAATAGTATGTATATGTGTAAGTAATATGCGCCTCTTAAAGACCAATGCTCAAATTCCATTTTGTGCACTTTGATGGACACAGGGAGAGAGCTGTTCTATCTTTCGGGGAGATCTGTCAGTGTGTGCGTTTTCCTCCTGAAGTCCATTTTGTGTGATATTTTAGGCAACTGGTTTTGTTTGTTGTGTATCTTCTTTCGTTTTTACTTTTTAGTTGAAGATTTAGTCATGTTTCTTTTAGACAGCATTGAGTTGGATTTAATTTTCTATACAGCTTAGGTATTAATACTTTTCTTTTTTTAAACAAAGGATTCTGGTTGATCTGAAAAATGAAGTTTGGTATCAAAAATGTCATGATCCTATATGTAAAGCAGAAAACTTCAAAACTGACTGTGAGTTATTAATTTTTACATTTACCATAAAGTAAAAGTTAATGTTTACATAAAAACAGTTTTTACTATCTTTCTGATTCAGGTTTGCCATTACCTGCTGAAGTGTGTCTTTTGTTTCTTTTCAAAGAGGTAAGTGCAGTTTTGTATCATTGTCATTACTAAGTCTTGGTATTATAGTATAAATGAACCAGGAGCAGTGTCACTAAGCTTTTTTTTTTTGACAGGCAGAGTTAGGGAGAGAGAGAAAGGTCTTTCTTCTGTTGGTTCACCCCCCAAATGGCTGCCATGGCCAGCACGCTGCGCCGCGCCAAAGCCAGGTGCTTCCTCCCAGTCTCCCATGCGGGTGCAGGGGCTCAAGCACCTGGGCCATCCTCCACTGCCTTCCCAGGCCACAGCAGAGAGCTGGAAGAGGAGCAGCCAGGACTAGAACCCAGGGTGCCGGCGCCACAGGCAGAGGATTAGCCTAGTGAGCCGTGGCACCGGCCTCCACTAAGCTTTTTAAGTACAATGTTTGTAACACATTGTTTTCACTTGAAGATCCATCTTGGTGATTTTCCTACCTCAGTATATATTTAATGACACATACCTCATTTTTTTTTTTTTTTTTTTTTTTTTTTTTTGACAGGCAGAGTGGACAGTGAGAGAGAGAGACAGAGAGAGAAAGGTCTTCCTTTTCTGTTGGTTCATCCCCCAATGGCCTTTGCGGCCGGCGCACCGCGCTGATCCTGGCAGGAGCCAGGAGCCAGGTGCTTTTCCTGGTCTCCCATGGGGTGCAGGGCCCAAGCACCTGGGCCATCCTCCACTGCACTCCCTGGCCATAGCAGAGAGCTGGCCTGGAAGAGGGGCAACCGGGACAGAATCCGGCGCCCCAACCGGGACTAGAACCCGGTGTGCCGGCGCCGCTAGGTGGAGGATTAGCCTATTGAGCCACGGCGCCGGCTTCATACCTCATTCTTTACTGCATAAGATTTAGTACACTTTAACCAGTCCTAGACATTAAAGAGGTTTCTGGTTGTATAAACCAAAATACCCTTCTTTATTTCTGGCACAGTGCTTGCAGCAGACATACCACAGTGCCCAGTTCTTGTCTGCCTCCTCTGCTTCCTGCAGCCCACATGGGAGACCTGGATTGCATTCCAGGTTCTTGGCCTAGCCCTGGCTGTTATGGTTATTTGGGGGGAATGAACTAGTAGATGTGGGATCTTTGTGACTCTGCCTTTCAAATAAAAAAATTGCATATACCCTTTGCTGCCATTTTTTCCCCCAAGATTTATTTGAAAGTCAGAGTTACACAGAGAGAGGTCTTCCATCTGCTGGTTCACTCCCCAACTGGCTACAACAGCCAGAACTGCGCCAATACGAAGCCAGGAGCCTCTTCTGGGTCTCCCACGAGGGTGCAGGGGCCCAAGTACTTGGGCCATCTTCCACTGCTTTCCCGGGCCACAGCAGAGAGCTGGATCTCAAACTGGTGTCCATAGGGGATACTGGCACTGCAGGTAGCAGCTTCACCCACTATGCCAGCAGTTTTAATCGTGGTTTGACAATCCAATAATACCACCAAAATTTCTTTCAAAGATCTTTATTTGCCCAAATAATTTAAAATCTTCCTCATAATATTACAACATTTTTATCTGGGCTCATATTTTTAAAACCAGTAAGTATACATAATACTCTGTGGGGCCTTTCCTTTTTAAGGTGTATTTGAGAGACTGAAGTCTTCCATCCACTCCCCAAATGGCTGCAACAGCTGCTTCTGGGTCTCCCACGTGGTGCAGGGCCCAGCTGGGACTTGAACCAGTGCCCCTACAGGATGCTGGTGCCCCAGGCGGAGGCTCCACACCTAATTTAAGGAAATTTAACATCACTATTATCTCATGTAAGCCTTAGTGATTAGTCCTTGGCAGTTTGTCTTTAACAGGTACACAGGCCACTTGAACAGGTAAGTCTGTCCTTGCTGTAGCACCTGCTGGGGATGCTGAAACATCTGTGCCACAGAACTGCAGGCAGTTTCAAATGGGGAGTCTAAGGAGTATCTGAGCCAACTCCAGAAACAGTTAATATTCTCATTCCTATCGAACTGGTCTTAAGATCTTAATATGTGGTGATTTCATTATATATTCAGTCTATGTAGAATTACAACTAGATTTTTTTTTTTTAAAGGAAGAAGAATTTACAACAGACGAAACTAGGAACAATGAAACCACGAGCCCTCATAAACCGTCCCCTGGTGCATCCTCTGACCCTGGCTGGGACAATGGCATGGATGATGCTTGCTTTTTAGAAGCCACTGAAGATGCTGAATTAGCAGCGGCTGCAGAGAGCAGTCTTCTGCGTCACAGTAGTGGAGGGGATGAGATTCCTGATGACCTCATTATGGAAGTATTACAAGAGTAGCCAACTGTGGACATCACATAAGCAGCCTGTAATCTGCGAGATTTGTAACAAAAAATTATATTCAGTCTGTCAAATGTTACTTGGAAAATAATGTAAGTAAATCAATTTTATTGGAAATTAACTGTAGCATTTAGTCTATGTTCACATTGTCTTAATTTTACAGGTTAAAACATACATGTTTGGCGCTGATTCAGATAGGGTTTCAACATTTTTAAATTACTCAAGACATTATCCTAAAAGGATCATGGCCTCTAAAACTATTAATCAGTACTAAATCCTGGGGACTGGACCCTACTTGTTTTCAGAGGCCGCAGGGGACTAAGTTGGCACATTTCAGTACGGCTGTCTCCTCAGTCCTGGTCAAGGAGATTCTCTAATTGGTGGTTGATATTTTGCAAATGATTTTCAGCTCCCAAAAAGGTTCTTGCTTTAAATAACAGAGCTGGAAGGCTGGATGAATCATACTGTTGAAAGAAAATAATTCAGATTAGGTAATATCAAAAACTCTTACAATCCTATCTTTACATAGTTCAATCTGAAACCAATGGAAAAGATCTAACTTGTCAACTTCTCTTCCTTTCACTTTTACAATTGGTTTTAATTCATTTCCTTAGGATAGAATTCGTAGAACGTTGCAAAGGAGTGGCTCTGTACATCTGAGTGCCTGGGGCAGGTCAAGACTTGGTTTGAGCAAGTCTGTCAGATCTCATGTCTATTTTAAAACACACAACAAAAAACATTAGGAGGTTTACTTTTACTGGAAGAACCAAAGGATGAGAACACCCAGCTTATAATAGCTCATAAGGGAAAAAAAGCTCTAAATCCACTCTAAGAAAACTTTAATCATGGAACTGATCCTTCCAATAAGACAAAATTACCATGCAAGTCGAACAAAATCAACTCCTGAGTTTAAACTAGTAAGCCAACCCAAAATTGATTAAATTCCTCTTTAGTTTTCTGACTACCTAGAAAACAGTGGATTTTTTTCCTGGCATACAATTTACCATATGTTGAGAGAATTCAAGAGCCTAATTAAGACACTAAGCACCTGCTCTGAGGGAGTGGAGGGAGGAGAACTTGCTTGGTGCTACAGGTTTAGTTTAGGAAAAGAGGTGAGGCCGAGAACACAGCTGGGAGTGGTATGGTCTAAAGGTACAGTCGCTGAATTTGTTTTAATGAAAGTGGTTGCTATTTTTCTAAATTTAATAACCAAGTCCACTTAAGCTTTAGACTAGTTAGGTACTTTGGGCTCAGGAAAACTGCATCAGTGTCAAAATTTAAAGCTGAATTTAGAAAACAAATCTGGTAACATTTTAATATACACTTTAAGTTGTCCACCTAGTATAATTTTACATAAAAAGTCCAGAAATGGGGGCCAGTGCTGTGGCCTAACAGCATCCCATATGAGCACCAGTTCATGTCCCGGCTGCTCCCTGCTGATGGCCTGGGAAAAGCAGTGGGAGACCCACGTGAAGGTCCTGGCCCAGCACTGGCTGTTGCAGCCGTCTGGGGGCGTGAACCACTAGAGGGAAGATCTGTCTCTCCTCTACCTGTGACTTTCAAATAAAAAATTTTGTAGTTACTTTTTTTATTAATCCAATAATATTGCTTTTTCTTGCCATTTATAGATAATGGCTTTTTAGATACATGTACCAAGAACATGAGCTAGACATAAAAAATGTGGTTGTGCAAAGCCTACTCTTCCCTTATTGAACTCAGTGAGCCCGGGTTTTCCTGTACTGCTGCAGCTCCCCTGCTGAGGCAGAGTCGAAAGTAAAAAAAACTCCAAGTTACCGTTTCCTTTGTGTCTGGTTCTTTCTCTTGAAGATCTGAGTACTCGTGATAGAGCTGTTTTAAATTAGATAGGAAATCTGCTGCCGTCCTCAGGGATGACTTTCTCTCCTTAAGTTCGTCGTATTTTGTTTGTAGCTGTATCAGCTGGGGCTCTAACCTAGCGCGAAAAGAAGTACACCAGGTGAAGGATGGAACACCAGGGTGGTGGCTGCTCCGTCTACCTTCAGCTCTGACAGCAGGAATGCTTGAAAGGCTCCGGGTTTCAATTTGAAATGTAGGAGAAAGGCAGCTTTCAGCCTCGCAGATGAGCCGCTGGGGCCAGCTGCATCAGCTCTCAGAGAGAACTTGGATCTTATAGACAAAGGGAATAGAAAAGGAGTTTTATTTTGTTAAATAAAAAAATGCTAACTAAACTCTTGTCTACTATGATGTCATAACATAAGTCCTGTAAGCTGTCCTGTACAGTGGACAAGTGCAGCGTTTTGTTAGACTCACTACTGAGCTGGCAGAATTGGGGTCTGACAGCGAATCCTAGCTGCCCCACTTCTGTGGGGTTTGACTGTTGGTATGTTACCTCTCCGTGCCTAGTTTTCCCAACGTAAAGTTAAAACAATAATATACCTCTCCAGTAGAAAAGGAACTAAAGAAGTGTGTTTTTAAAATATGTAATGAAGCCTTATCACCAGAGATAATAACCTCCCTCAGTGATGACAGGGACGATCAATGGGTGAAATCAGGAAAGCGCCCCGCACCCAGGGGACTGCTAGATGTAGGCTGTCGTATTACCTTGGCTGTTCTTAGCTGTAGCCTGGGCCAGCACCTGTCTGTAGTCTAAATTTGGAAACCAAAGGACTAGACAACCAATTCTCCCTCTTCAACTCCTGCGACAGCACTTTGTGCTTCACTGTCTTTTCTACCGGCCTTTCTCAGCTGTCGTACACCTTCAGAGCAGACAGCCTCCCTGGTACTGCTTTACTATCACACTCCCAGCTCACGCAACAGGTACAGAAGAGCAGGAAGAAACACTTGCAGGCTGCTGTGGGCTCCAGTCTTTGCAACCAGACCCCGGCTGGCCAGTTCTGGGACCGTCTGGTCCAGCCTCTGGGAATGTGGATTCACATGAGTGCCACCCACGGTGTTTGTGTTTCACCAACACCAACTGCCAACATTTATACAGCAATTAACCATGTGCCATCCCCATGAAGCACTTCTCACAACACCCGACGGTCTGTTAGATAGCATTACGCCTTTATACTAAAGAGGGAACGGAGTTATTAACAGGTTAAGTGACTTGGTTAAAGTTGCACGGGCAGTGAGGGGCCGAGCCTGGATTCAAAGCCAGGCAGTCTAACTGCATTAATTTATGCATGAATTTAATTGGGGTGCCTCTCAGGCCACAGCTGAGAGAAGTCGGGACATCAGTGGCAAATCCTCCCTTGCTAATGGGGGCTACAGCGACGTAGCATAACCTGCCCTCACTGAGCATCCAAATTCAAAGATAACCTGGAGTTTTCGTATGGCACAGCAGCAAGTATTAACGCCTCCCGATGACGTAGCACACTTGGGTTCCTTGAGGTATGTTCTGTCACAGGACTGTTGCTATCTTACCGAAGCAGTTCATCCTGGACTTCAACCAAACGCTGCCTTTTCTTCTTGATATCTGCAATCACCTAAGTAAGAGTAATTTCTTTGTTAATTTTGTGATGTGTACCGCCAGGAAAAGAGGGAACCTTGGAATAGTGTGGGTGGGGGATCTACTTCAGGATGATCTGGAGAAGGTGAGGGGCTAGATCCTCAGTAGATCCCATGAGCTAGACAGATGTGATCTTGCTGGACAGTGTCGTGATCTGTTTTGTATTTTTTTTTTTTTTTTGACAGGCAGAGTGGACAGTGAGAGAGAGAGACAGAGAGAAAGGTCTTCCTTTGCCGTTGGTTCACCCTCCAATGGCCGCTGCGGCCGGCGTACCACGCTGATCCGATGGCAGGAGCCAGGTACTTATCCTGGTCTCCCATGGGGTGCAGGGCCCAAGGGCTTGGGCCATCCTCCACTGCACTCCCGGGCCTGGAAGAGGGGCAACCGGGACAGAATCCAGCATGCCGGCGCCGCAAGGCGGAGGACTAGCCTAGTGAGCCGCGGTGCCGGCCTCTGTTTTGTATTTTTAAAACTATTGCAATAAGTTTTCTTATCTCAGATGTCTCATTAGTCACTACCTAATACTCTGCTGTTGGACATCCATAAACAATGTAGAAATGACCAAAATGAGATTACAGTTGAAAGAAAAAAAGATGTGTAATTGCCGGAAGACAAATGTATATTTCTCAAGGTCATTTCTGTTACCAATGCAGAGGAACAGTGACTTTGCACTCCTGGATTCGTGGAAGTTTGGTGGTGGAACCTCTGAGGTCATTCGGTCCATTCATTCACAAACAAGCAAAGGGGAATCCCGTGTTCACTGGCTTGTTTCCCACTGCTGCCTACTGAGGGGGCAGAGCCAGGACTACAGGTGAGGTCTTAGGACTCCTAACCTGGTGTTCTTCCCGGCTGCCCTTTTGCCTTAGACAGTGCTCTAAAAGGTTTTGCTTTTTGACACCCACAAAAGCAATAAATGTACATTACTCAACATGTACCCATAAAAGGGACCATTTTGGACGTTGATAGCCATTTTTAGACCAACTGAGACATCTTTCAAAAAGATTTAATAGCACTTCCTTGAACATCAACCAAATAAGAGTCTAAAAAGATAAAAATTCTTACACAAAATTCTAAAGGCAGCAAACCCCAAAGTCAGGTCCTAACCACCTGTGTTAGTATCGTGTAGTCACATCACCCTAATTGCTGACGTCACTTACCTTCGCGTTCTTCCTTTTCAGATTTTTCAACATCTGGGCTTCTTTAAGCTGTATGAAACGAAAGATAATTCCTGTGCATTTCCCAAGATTAATCATTTTGACATAGGTTACATTTAATTTAAAAATAGCATGTAAAATATGAGTAGTGCTAATGACTTTATTACCATATTGCCAGAAAATGCAAGCTTTTCTATGCTAACAGCATACTGCCTCAGGATAAGCTGAAAAACCTAAGGCCAAGAAATTTGTCAGTGAGCTTACCATTTTGATGAGTTCTTTAATATTACAATGAAATTTATTGATGGCTTCTTTACAAATTTTAGATTCTATTCTTTCTCTGTAGAGGAGTTAAAAAAAGGGATCAAATTAGGTATCATGAAGGATTTTGAAATGTGTTTCTCCGGCTTAGCATATGTAATATACATGCACAACTTGGCATGTACCATTTAAAAAAAATTAAGATGTAATATTCAGCCTGTGGTACTTTCTCAGACAATCTAGGAAACATGTCTCAGCAAAGAAAATGACCAGAAGTGCCCTTCACCAACGGATGGGCAAGCCAGAGAGTGGTCGTGCCCACGCTCACACTGTTAAGCAACCCTGCGGTGAGAACCACATCTGACGGCTCACCCCAGTGACCCAGGGACCCTCTTCAAATCACCTTAGCTGGACTACCTCCTTCCTCTTAGAACCATTAACTTAACGACTTTGGGGTTTAACATGCTGCATGAGTTTAGAGGCAAATCATACTCAAACCAGAACACGTGAGCTCCTATATTCAATTTATTTAATTTCTTCTCCAATTTTTACTATTAGTCTCCTGCTTACTTTGGGTTTCCTTTGCTTCTGTACCTGGATTGCTAAGAGGAGTTAGATGACTGATGCACTGCTTTCCTGGCATCCCATATTTTTCACTTTAGTTCAAACACATTTAGTTTTCTGTTAAGATTTCTTCTTTGACATACATGTTCTTTATAAGTATGTTGTGGCCGGCGCCGCGGCTCACTAGGCTAATCCTCAGCCTGCGGCGCCGGCACACCGGGTTCTAGTCCCGGTCAGGGCGGCGGATTCTGTCCCGGTTGCCCCTCTTCCAGTCCAGCTCTTTGCTGTGGCCCGGGAGTGCAGTGGAGGATGGCCCAAGTGCTTGGGCCCTGCACCCCATGGGAGACCAGGAGAAGCACCTGGCTCCTGCCATCGGATCAGCACGCTGCGCCGGCCGCAGTGGCCATTGGAGGGTGAACCAACGGCAAAGGAAGACCTTTCTGTCTACTCTGTCAAAAAAAAAAAAAAAGTATGTTGTTTAATTGCCAAGTATTTAAAAATTTTTTCCAGCTATCTGTCTGCAACCAGACACTGTAAGATTTCTATTATTTTACATTCTTAGGGTTGTGTTTTTTATGGCCTAGATTGTGATCTGTCTTGACAAATATTCCTTGTGATCTTGAGAAGAATGTGTATTCTGTGTTGCTGAAGTAGCCTGCAGTCTATAGCTATCCATAATAGGTTGAACACCCCTCATCTAAAAACCCAGCATCCAAAACGCTCTGAAATCCAAATGCTGAGTGCCAACATTACACTCAGTTTTGGATTCTTGGATTAAAGACACTCAACCAATTAAGTGTGCAGGTATTCCAAAATCTGAAAAGCTCAGAAATCAAACATTTTCAGTCCCAAACACTTCAGATAAAGGACACTCAGCTTGTACAGTGTTTCTTATCTCTGGCATTTGTTTTACTGTTTGAATTTAGAACTCTTGGGAGCAGGGGTTTGATGCAGTGGTGAAGCCATTGCTTGGGCGGCCCATAGCCCACATCAGCGTGCCTGGTTTGAGTTCCAGCTCTGCTTCGATTCTAGCTCCCTGCTGACGTGCACCCCTGGAGGCGGCAGGTGGTGGCTCAGTGTTGGGTCCTTGCCAGCCATGTGGGGGACCCAGACTGACTTCCTGGCTCCTGGATTTGGCCTGGCCCAGCCTCGGCTATTGTAGCCATTTGGGGAGTGAACCACAGTAGATGGAAGAAATCAGTATCTCTCTTCCACCCCGTCCCTCTCCCTTTCAAATAAAATGAAAAAAAAAAAATTAAACAATAATTTGTATCTCTCGGCTGTATCACTCATTTTCTCCAAAGAAGATACAAATGGTCATGAAGCACCTGAAAAGACACGCAACACTAACACGAGGGGAATGCAGACAGGTCTACATGGCACTCTACTCACTGGGATGACTACTGTAAACACCACCAGAACACGGGTGTTGGCAGGAATGCGGAGAAAGAGACACAAATAACTGGAAGGACATTCCATGCTTATTGACTAGAAAACTTAATACACAGATTCGCTGCACCTCCTATCAAAAGTCCAGTGACATTTTTTGCAGCACTAGAAAAAATCCTAAAATTCATGTGACTATCAAAAGACTCCAGAAAGCCAAAACAATCTTAAGAAAGCTGCAGGCCTCATACTTTCTGATTTAGAAACATATTACAAAGCTACAGTAGTCAAAACAGGATGGCACTGGAATACAGACAGAAACACAGACCAATAAGACTGCATAGCAAATCCAGAAACAAACTTTCACATACACTGGGGGCTTCTGATCGTCAGTGTGGTGCCAGCACTACATAATGGGGAAGGCAGGCTCTTCAGCAAGGGGTGTTAGAAAATCTGCAGGTCCACCTGTAAAATAAGTGAAGCTGGCCCTTACCTTACACCACACATACTTCAAAATGCACTCAGAATGCATTAAAGACTAAAACAGTAACGTCCCAAGTGGAAAAAATAGGGATTGCATGTCACATCAACACACAGATAACAAAAGCAAGAACAGACAAATGGAGCTGCATCCGTTTAAAGCTTCTATTTGCCTTAAAAAGGAAATTCTGACAACTTGGCCACCACGTGGATTACCCTGAGGACAGATGTGTGAAATAAGCTAATTACAAAGGGACGCATATGAGGGGTCTTCAGAAGGTTTGTGGAAAATGGATTTTAGGGCAAAACTATGCATGGGTTTCAAAATTTTGTGCACCAAATAACTATCTTTTAATTCCATTTTGTTTTTAAGTACCCTCAAATGTATGATCCCACTTATGAGTTACACAGAGTAGTCAAGTCTGCAGAACAAAGTAGAAGAGTGCTTGCTAGGGGCTGGTGAGAAGGGGATAGTTTAATGGACACAGGTTTGGGCTTGACCAGATGAACAGTGTCTAAAGCGGGGTCCACAACAGTGAGAATCTACTTCACACTGCCGACCTGTGTACTTACAAATGCTTAAGATGGCAAGTTTTATGACGTCCTGTTATCACAGGTACAAATTATACGTCCTATCTTGTGAAGAAGAATTTCTAATTTAATATAGATACCAAATTTTCAGATGTGAAAAAAAATTTTTTGGCCAGCACTATGACTCAATAGGCTAATCCTCCACCTGTGGCGCTGGCACACCGGGTTCTAGTCCCGGTCGGGGCACCGGATTCTGTCCTGGTTGCCCCTCTTCCAGGCCAGCTCTCTGCTGTGGCCCGGGAGTGCAGTGGAGGATGGCCCAAGTCCTTGGGCCCTGCACCCCATGGGAGACCAGGAGAAGCACCTGGCTCCTGCCATCGGATCAGCGCGGTGCGCCGGCCGCAGCGGCCATTGGGGGATGAACCAACAGAAAAGGAAGACCTTTCTCTATCTCTGTCCACTCTGCCTGTCAAAAAAAAAAAAAATTTTTTTTTTTTAATAAGAAAAACGGGCCAGGCCTCTCTGCTGCGGCTCATTCTAATGATGATAAACTGATGGATTCTATCAGCCACAAGGTGACAGTCTACACAGGATGCTCAGACACAGCTCTTTCAAGTTTTAGTGCTTAAAAAACCTGGCCACTTCATCCAGACCTAGTTATGGAGTATCCTAAGAATTTGTGACGTTTGCATTTCATGACATACTTCCTTGCTTATACACACTGACATACTGCTTACAACGAGCGAGTCTGTTGACAAGCAAAAAAAAATTGTTCAGGCTTGTCACGTGTATTACAAATAGCAGACCCCCAAACAGGTGTTTATTTGGAAAGTGGGAAGTGTTCCACGTGGCTGAGAACCTAGAGGTTGCAAAAACACAATGGATCAGTGATTTCACAGGAATTGTTTGATGCAACAAAAAACGTTGTTTTGTAATTTTAAAAGTCTGTGAAAAATGCAAGTGAAGTATTCTTTATCCAAACTGCTGGGGGCCAGAAGCATTTTGTATTCCAATTGTTTTGGATTTTGGAGTATGTGCATATACATAATGAGACTTCTTGGGGCTGGGACTCAAGTCTAAACATGAAAATTCATTTATATTTCATATACACCTGAAACACATGGCTTAAAGATAATTTTATGCGACATTTTAAGTATGTGTTCTGACTGCAGTCTGTCACATGAGGTCAGGTGTGGAATGTTCCACTGTGGCTTCATGTTGGTGCTCAGTTTCAGATTTTCAAGCATTTTAGGTCCTGGATTTTCCAATCTGTCCCTTTCCTAAGTCACTTCCCAAGAACTTAATATGCTAAGGGTAGGCATTTATTATTTTCAAGACTGTTTTTATTTATTTGAGAGGTAGAGTTACAGGCAGTGAGAAGGAGAAAGAAACAGGTCTTCCTTCCCGTTGGTTCACTCCCCAATGGCCACAATGGCTGGAACTGCACTGATCTGAAGCCAGGAACCAGGAGCTTCTTCTGGGTCTCCCATGTGGGTGCAGGGACCCAAGGACTTGGGCCATCCTCCACTGCTTTCCCAGGCCACAGCAGAGAGCTGGACTGGAAGAGGGGCAACCAGGACTCGAACCAGTGCCCAAATGAGATGCCGGAGCCGCAGGCGGAAAATTAACCTACTGTGCCATGGCGCAGGCCCCAAGGGTAGGCATTTCTTTAGCCCAGTGATTGAGACACCCACATCCCATATCAGAGCTCCTAGGTTGGATAACTGGCCCTCATTCCCGATTCCAGCTTCCTGCTAATTCAGACCCTGGGAAGCAGTGCTGGTGGCTCAGGTAACTTGGCTCCTGCCATCAGGTGGGAGACCTGGATTGAGTTCCTTCCTCCTGGCTTTGGCCCGGCCCAGCCCAGCCCCAGCCCCAGCCCCAGCCCCAGCCCCAGCCCCAGCCATTGTAGGCATTTGCGGAGTGAACCAGCAGATGGATGCTCCCTCTATCCCTCAAACAAATAAATAAAAATTTAAAATATACTAAAAGGTAAATTAACAAGGCCAGTTTCCCTAAATATCCCAAGTCTATAGTAAGTCTTTAGGCGATTTATGAATGAGAAAAGGATAACAAAAGCCAGTGTGGTGCGTTAAGAGAACCAGTTTTAACAGCAAACTGGCTCTGGATTATAGAGCAGAGAAGAAAAAACCAGGCTCTCCTCACAGTGACACTGCTGAGTTCTAGTGTGACAGACCCGCCCCACGCCACATCAATGCGGGTGAACCCCAGAGGGGAACCGCCACAGAACCAGACAAGGCTGTGAACCCCAAGGGGAGGGATTCTGAAAGGGGAAAGGTGAGAGCTGAGGCTGTGGCTGGCTGTTGAGGGCCGGCTCCTGTGTCTTCCCCACCGTCCCCGCACACACGGCCTCCCAGACACCTGTCACTGGCAGGGATTCGACCCTGTCTCCTGGTCCTCAGACTAAAGGCAGCCCCGGGCCTGTGAGGCCTGGGGAACAGTGGGGAGACTGACCTTGGGCAGCTGTTTCCTCACCTTTCCCAGGGAGTGACCTACCCTCCTGGCACTGCTCTCTGCGGGGCCTGGGGTGATGGCCAAGCGACTGGGCTTCCCGCTCCCCGGCCCTGCCGCCTCCATCCCTGGCACTCCTGTCTCCTGACAAGCTCCCAGGCCAGAGAAGCAATGCCAGAGCAGCACAACTGCTCCCAGAGGAAAACCCCTAGGAGAGCTGATTCCATCAAATGGATTTTAGACAGTATTCCCAGGATGCTAACCAGGAACGACGCGAACTGAAGGCACAAAAAAGAACCAAGCAGAAATAGTAGATATAAAAACCAAAACAGTGCAACAAACAACAAATGGGATAAATGGCTGCATGCATGCATGCATCTAAGAAATACATTAGCAGACCTTCCCACTTCTAAGTCAGGAAAAACAAAGGATAGTCAGAAGCTGTCAGGCCACCGAGGCCACCCCGATGAAATGGCACAGAGCGTTCACCTGGAGCCTTGTGGGCTGCTTGCTGCAGGGAAAGCCCCCGCACCTGCTGAGACAATATGCTGAGCCACGTGCCTTTCTGCACGCCCCCCAGACACCCTACCAGGGTCCGTGTGGTGCCTGCACCTCTCCAACAAGCCACTTGGAAAGGGACTGCCTGTTGCCCAAACGATGAAGCCTGGCTTCAGGCCCCCACCCTCCGGCCTGGGAAGGATTCACAGTTCTAGATGCCACCAAGAACTTTCGCGATCCCTGCAAGGAGGTCAGAACTATCAACAACAACAGGACCTGAAAGACGTGGCTTCCCTCCTTCCGGACTTCCGGACGAGTGACGGGGGTCAGGACTGGTGGAGAAAGTAACCGCGGATGTGAGGGAAGCAGCAAGAGCACAGACTTGCCAGCGGAGCCTGAAGACGCGACCCAACGGCTGCGCTTTCATGGCCAAACCTAACAGACAGGAGCTGCCGCTCGGGGTGAACAGAAAAGGGCTTCTCCCGATGGCCCCCGCACCTGCTCAAGAGGCTGTGACGCGGCTGACGTGACAACAGGAGACTGAGACCGTGCATGGACATCGCTGGGAAAGCAGAGAGAATGTCAGGACTGATCAAAGTGCTGCCCACCAGCATCTCATGCCCCAGAGAGCGCTTTCAGGGAAAGAAGAGTCGACCAGTGCAGCAAACTCCGTTTTTGCCTTATTTGAAGAAATTGTCAAAGCCACTCAGCATCTACCACCCTGATCAGTCAGCAGCTGTCAACCTCGGGGCCAGATCCCTCCACCAGCAAAAACAGCATGACTCACGGAGAGAGCTCATTACCGGTTTTCAGCAATACAATATTTTAATTAAGTTATACATATATATTTTAGACACAAAGCTATTATATGCCTAAAAGCCTACAGTATGGTATAAATGTAACTTCCAAATGTGCTGGGAAACCAAAAATTCGTGACTCTATTGTGGCATTTGCTTTACTGCAGTGGTCTGGAAGCAAACCTGCGATCTGTCTTAGGTACGCCTGTGATACGCATGTCACGTCTGGCAAATGCTACCAAAAGAAAGCTAGTGATGCATATCAGATGAGCTAAAATAGATATGAAGACAAAAAAGCATTTCTAGCAATGGAGGTCACCATTACTTGATGATAAATGTCTCATTTATAAGACAGAGCAATTTAAAGCATGATGTTCCTAATAAAATGGTCTCTAAATATATACAGCACAAATACCAGGAAAAACTGAGTAATTACTGGTTCCATCCAGATGCAATAATTAAACTCCCCAGATCTAGTATTCAGAGATTCCGCACGGATTACATGCTAGGCCATAAAGAAAGCCTCAACATTTCGAGTCAGTATCACCAGACCATCAGGATCTTTGACGACGACAGTTAAGGTAGAGTTCATACAAAAATACAAATTAAAAAGCCACATATTTGGACATATAAAAACATACTGCTAGTGACTCACAGGATTAAGGAAAATCATAACAAAATATCTAAGATGTAAGAATAATGAGAAGACATACAAAAACCCACTAAGCAACAGTCGTACCTGAAGGGGAATCAGTCGTGTATGCACTAGAACATCAAGACTTACTTATGCTCCCGGATTGCTTTCTCACATGCAGACAAAACAATATCCAACTCCATGAGGTCACTCTTCTTTTTTCCTTCTAGACACCAAATATGCACGCTGTCAGAAATACCTAGAATATCAAGACAAATCACTTCAACATGCTGATGGTTCGTATTTGCCTCTAGAGACAGAGTTCTGAAAGCTTGAAACAAAAACAGTGCCTCCCATCGGGTAAAGGCAGCTCCGGCTGAAGAATCCTATGGGAGGCGCCATCCTCACTGCTTCCTGCCCACTGCTTCCCTCACAAACCCCGTCTGTATGCTCACTCTCTTCCTGCCGTCTCTTTGGTTCTCCCATTTCTGCTGAAGCAACCAAAAGCTCTGCTGCCCTTTATCTTGTGTGTAGCTGTCCAACACCACTCCCAATAAAGTCCTTGTCGGCAAGGACAGTATTTTGTGAACTTAATCCCTCCGTTAACTGGCCACGTGCAGAATACATGATTACTCGGTGCATTGTTTAAAATGCTACAGTAATATTCTGTATTAGGATTCTGAAGACCTACAGTTCTAGTTTGAGCTTTTATTTATTTATTTATTTAATGAATATAATTTCCAAAGTACAGCTTATGGATTACAATGGCTTCCCCCCCATAACTTCCCTCCCACCTGCAACCCTCCCCTTTCCCACTCATCTCCCCTTCCATTTACATCAAGATTCATTTTCAATTCTCTTTATATACAGAGTATCAGTTTAGCATATATTAAGTAAAGATTTCGACAGTTTGCACCCACGTAGAAAACACAAAGTGAAAAATACTGTTTGAGTACTGGGGCCCTGAGTTGTCACCTCCACACCTCCATGTAGGACAACTGTGTCCCTCTAATTTGCATGGAGTTTCCTCTGCTGTTTTCTCCCTAACTCTTCCCTGAGATTGTCGTCTCTCACCTTTTTTTATTTTAAACTATCTTTCCCTAGACTAGACCAGGAAGCTCCCTCCCAATTCTGCCATCTTGAAACCTCCAAAAGGTACTATGTATTCTTTTAAACAAAACACAGTATCTCAAGATCTTATTACTCCAAATAAAATCTTCCTTAAGCTCTAAGGAACAGATTAACAAAAATTATGAAGAACCATTATATCCAGTCTGTCTTTACTTCTTTAACATTTTTATCTTGGCACCAGAATTATGAATTATATTCTATACACAAGAACACTTGCCTGTGAAATATGGAGGTGCACAACCTTGAGATCACTGAGCAGCTAGAGAAAGAGAACATTAACATGGGAAGCAGCCAGTGGGCCCCCACCTGCACGCATCTCCCTGCCAACCTGCAGGTTACCACTATTCAGAAGTCTGTTTATCACTGTATCAGTCCTCACGATTTTATGCTACATGCACATACATATTCCTAAACAAGAGTTCAGTTTACATTTTTGACTTTATATTATGCCAGCAAAAGTTTTAATTTTCTATTTCATTGAAAAAGTATATCACAATTTACCTATCAATTCTACCATGACTGACTGCTTTCAGGATTTTTTTTTTTAAACAGGCAGAGTGGACAGTGAGAAAGAGAGACAGAGAGAAAGCTCTTCCTTTGCCGTTGGTTTGCGCTGCAGCCGGCCCACTGCGCTGATCTGAAGGCAGGAGCCAGGTGCTTCTCCTGGTCTCCCATGGGGTGCAGGGCCCAAGCACTTGGGCCATCCTCCACTGCCTTCCCGGGCCACAGCAGAGAGCTGGCCTGGAAGAGGGGCAACCAGGACAGAATCCGGTGCCCCGACCGGGACTAGAACCTGGTGTGCCAGCGCCACTAGGTGAAGGATTAGCCTACTGAGCCATGGCGCCAGCACTGCTATCAGGATTTTAACAGCACAAAAATAATGCTACGAACACTCATAAATACGTTTCACAAGGAATTTCTTTAGGAAATATATCACAGGCACCAGCCAGGTTTCTGACTTTGTGTATTTTCAACATTACCGAAGTTGCCAAAATGGTTTTCAAAATTGTTACCATAGCTTTCTACCTGCAGTGGGTAGGATTCTCACCGCCCATAACCTCATTCCCTGAAGAATTAACTATCTGCCAATGCAGCCGTGTGGCAGAGGACTTTGTCCTTTTAATTAAACTTGTTGCTGAAATGATTAAAGTTGTGGCAGAGCCTTCCCAAGGTCAGAAAAAGGAAAAGGGAGGCATCTGTCCTGGGAATGAAGTGTGGCTGCTACCTGCCTGCCTGTGAATGCTTCCGCTGCAGTCCCGACCTGCTTCTATGGACCACTTCAGGTCCTGCTTGCTAGTACACAGCAATGCTGTTGACCCTTGCAGACAGCTACGGCTCAGTATGTGCGTGGGAGGAAAAATGTATACACGCCCAGTACTGCATCAATTCCTGTGGCTGCCATGTAACATCACAATATCCAATCCAATGTAGGCATGGAACCAAGTAAGGGAGACAAAGAGGCTAAAGCCCTATCTAAGGAAACAGCCCTCTTTGTTCTGGGCTTAGGCTTTTAGATAAGAAATTCCACCTGGGCCTTATGCTGGCATAAATAATAAAAAGACTACTTCCTACTAAAAGCCTTGGTGTCTTGTCTCTGTGCACGAATCCTGCTACTGTAGGTGCAGAAGGGTCTCATCATAACTGAAGCTGACATTTCTGTCACTCATAATGGGCTGTCTTTGAACCTTTCTTTCACTGTTTCTTCTCCGGTAAAAATCCGTAATGCCACCTGCCCATTCCTTCTACCGGCTGGCAGTGTGTGCATCACCCCCATGTGCTACTGCTGTTTGAGTCTCACCCTGTGCCTTTCTTCATGGTCTCTGGATGAGCACAAGCCCTTGATTTGTCAGTTAAACTTACTCATTTCCTTTACAGTTAACCTTTTTGTGTCTTCTGTAAGAATTCAGAGTCATACACTCCTGTACTTTCTCTAAAAGTAGTCAGATCATACCTCCCACAAATGAAGTCTTCTCTCCACTTGAAACGACTGTCGTGTGGGTGGGAGACAGAGGGCATCAGCTGGGCTTCCCGCGCGGGGACATGGCCACAGCCCTTCCCCATCTCGTCCTGCATTCAGCAGGTTTGCAGAGACGCACGGGGCACCTTCCCTTCTCTCCTTCCACGTCACTGTCGCAGGCTTAGAGTGGAGGGTTCCTTAAGTGGCTGTTAGGCTCACCCGGAAAATCGCCTGCAACTAGGCCTTAACTGCTTCTTGCTTGTCTCCACAGGAATGTTTTTCTCTAGTGACTGTATTTCCCTGGTGGTTGTAGGATTATCCTGGTTGTGATCTTGAAGAGCTAGTTTTGTCAGCCTTCTTTTCTACAGGTTTATATGCTACAGTCAGGGATAGAGTGGAGACGTGTCTCCTTTGCATCTATTTAAATTTATTTCCCGTGAAGTTGCTCATTCTATTCTTAGTCAATTCTACACTTCAGGCCGGCGCCTCAGCTCACTAGGCTAATCCTCCGCCTGCGGCACTGGTACTCTGGGTTCTAGTTCCGGTCAGGGCGCCAGATTCTGTTCCATTTGCTCCTCTTCCAGGCCAGCTCTCTGCTGTGGCCCGGGAGTGCAGTGGAGGATGGCCCAAGTGCTTGGGCCCTGCACCCGCATGGGAGACCAGGAGGAAGCACTGGCTCCTGGCTTCAGATTGGCGCAGTGCGCCGGTCATAGGGGCCATTTCGGGGTGACCAATGGAAGGAAGACCTTTCTCTAACTCTGCCTGTCCAAAAAAAAAAAAAAAAAAAAAAAAAATCTACACCTTAGCTTCTAGTGGGTGTGTAAAATCACACAATCACTTTGGGCATATGGTTTTTAACATTTGGTCGTTTCTTGTAAAATTAAACATATACTACCCTAGGACTCAGCAGCTCTACTCTTTATATTTTCCCAAGAGAAACCAAAACACGTGTTAACAAGGAATGTGTGAGAGAAGGTTCACGGCAGCTTTATTCATGAGGGCCAAAACCTGGAATCCAGTCAGCATCCATCCGTGAGCGCCGGCAGGGCTGTGGTGCAGCGGTGCAGCAGAATGCCACACACGACAGACATCACACACAACACCAGGCGGACCCACAGCAGAGCACATGCTGTGGGAGTCCATCCATGCGAAATCCCACACCAGGCAAGGCTAATCTATGGTAGAAAACAAGAGCCCCAAAGTCCCTGTCTCTGGGAATGTGAAGAGGGGACAGGCATCAAAGGGAACAGGGAAATTTCGGGAGGAATGGGAAGCATCTTTATGTTAATAGTGGTTTGAGTTACACAAGTGTTTGCATTTCCCAAAATTCAGCTATTATATACCCAAGATCTAGGCATTTCACTGTATGCACATTTTACATTAACAGAAAAGAACTAGGGGGGCAGTGTTGTGGTACAGCAGGTTAAGTCTGCTGCATATAAGCACCAGTTAGAGTCCCTGATGGTCCAACTTCCTACCCAGCTCCCTGCTAATGTGATAGGAAAGCCATGGAGGGTGGCCAAGTGCTTGGGCCCCTGCTACCCATGTGGGACACCAGGATGAATCTCCTAGCTCCTGGCTTCAGCCTGTCCCAGCACTGACCATTGTAGCCATTTGGACACTGAACTAACAGAGGATGTCTTTTTCTCTCTCAATCTGTAACTCTGCCTCTCAAAATCTTTTAAGATTTACTTATTTGAGAGGCAGAGTTACAGAGAGGGAGAAACAGAGAGAGAGAGAGAGAGAGAGAGAGAGAGACAGAGACAGAGACAGACACACACACACACACACACAGAGATCCAGAGAGAGAGAATCTTTTATCAGCTGGTTCACTCCCTGAATGGCTGCAATGGCTGAAGCTTGGCTGATCCAAAGCCAGGAGATTCATCCTGGTGTCTACATGGGTGGCAGGGGCCCAAGCGCTTGGCCCATCTTCTACTGCTTCCCCAGGCCATAGCAGAGAGCTGGACCGGAAGAGCAGCAGCCAGGACACGAACCAGTGCCCATATGGGATGCCGGTGCCATAGGTGGAGGCTTAATTTACTACACCAAAGTGCTGGCCCCAAATAAATCTTTAAAAAAAAAAAGAAAAAGAAAAAATGGTAAACAAGCATAGAACTCTGGCTAATGATGTATACATTGAAATAATTCAAAAGAAATGTACTAATGTCAAATTTATTTTGAAATGCATTAAAGAATTAAATGGATTAATGGACAAAGTAACAACTCAAGTGTTAACTGAGATCCAGATAGTAGGTGAATATACACTGTAAAATTCAGTTTGTTGTATGTTGAAAATTTTCACGACAAAACATTAAAAATAGTTACCCCAAAGTCACACATGCCTCATTTTTCAAAGTAGCAGTAACAATTTACTGTTTTAACCAATCAGCACTTTTTTCCATTACATCTTTGACTAAGTGACAAAGTATCATGCATATTCTGGGGCAGACATTTGGCAGTTGGTTTATTTGCTGAGAGACCCACACCCCATACTCAAGGGCCTGCGTTCCAGTCCCAAGTCGCAGTTCCGCCTTCCCACTGACGTGCACCCTGGGAGGCAGCAGGTCATGGCTCCGCTAGCTGGGTCCCTGGCACACACGTGGGAGACCTGGAACGAGTTCCTGACTTCAGTCTTGCCCAGCCCTAGCTGTTGTAAGCATTTGGGGCAAGGGAATCAGCAGAAGGGAGGTGGCTCTGAATAAGTAAATAAACTACAAAGAAATAAAACACCATCCTGTACCTGAACCTCCAGCTTCATTGCTTGTTTTTTTCCTTTTGCCACGAGACATAGTCTCCTTTTTCTGAGTTTCCTATAAAAATTATAAAGCACATGTTTTTCTTTAAGAAGTATTCATTCTTAAAACATAAGCCTTAAGATGACTTAGCAAACACAATCAGTATTTTAACTATAATTCCTTAGTTCTAAATTACTTATATCAATTATCTAAATTTGTTTAAGAAAACATTGCCAAAAAATTAAATTTTCACAAGACTTTGAGTGGACTTTTAACAATCATTGCAAGGGAGAAAGTAGAACTTCCATTGTGTAAGATTACAACGTGCAGAATCAGGTCACATTTCTGTTTCCAGCTATAAGGAAGTAACAGTTCTTAAAGCTCTTATAGGGGAAAAGCCTCCCTTCCACCCCTCTAGGTTCTTTGGTTGAACTATAAATTAAGTTGACATGTAAGACAGAAGAACAAGAGAGAAGCCTCACTGAACTGTTGCCATAACACAGTGGGCATTCCCACACAGGATTCCCACAAGAAACGAAGGGCCAGCTAACTGAAGCTGGTGCAGCGTCCTGAGCGCAGAAGGGGGTAGGGGCCGCTGTGGGTGGTCGCCACGTAAGTTGTGGTAAGGGGAGGGGAGGAACTGTATGGTCAGTCCTGTAGATGAAAACCCCTCAGGTGGGGCCGGCGCCTGCAGTGCCAGCATCCCATATGGGCGCTAGTTCTAGTCCCGGCTGCTCCTCTTCTGATCCAGCTCTCTGCTATTGCCTGGGAAAGCCGTGGAAGATGGCCCAAGTGCTTGGGCGCCTACACCCACATGGGAGACCCAGAAGAAGCTCCTAGCTCCTCATCAGCTCAACTCTGCCTGTTGTGGCTATTTGGAGAGTGAACGAGTAGATGGAAGATTTTTCTGTCTCTATAAATCTGAAACTCTGCCTCTCACTCAAATAAATAAATCTTTAAAAAAAATGAATATTGTGAGGTCAGATTTACCATCTACAAGTAAAATATGACAAAAATAGTACAGAGGATGGGGGATGAATAAATGAAATTATACTGTTATGTAATTACATTATATAGTGGGAAGAAATTGTCAGCTATGAAGTAGGATATACAAGGATGACAAAGTAACACACTGATTCCAAATAGATTGCTAATTTAAGGATGTGTGTATATGGGTACACACACACACACACACGTAATATTTTTTAAGAACCTGCAAGAGAACCCCCATCTGCTGGTTCGCTTTCCAAAGGCCTGCAACAGCTGGGGCCTTTGGAAAGGATGGATCACTGGAGCCATCACCTGCTGCCTTCCAGGTACTGCACTGGCAGTAAGCTGGAGTCAGGAGATGGCAATCAAGCCCAGGTACTCCCAGGTGGCACATGGGCATCATAACTGCTAACCCAAGTGCCTACTTCCGAGGATGCATTTTTTTATTTTTTTTTAAGATTTACTTATTGGGGCTGGCACCGTGGCTCACTTGGTTAATCCTCCGCCTGCAGCACCAGCATCCCATATGGGCTCCAGCTTCTAGTCCCAGTTACTCCTCTTCCAGTCCGGCTCTCTGTTGTGGCCCGGGAAGGCAGTGGAGGATGGCCCAGGTGCTTGGGTCCCTGTACCTGCATGGGAGACCAGGAGGAAGCACCTGGCTCCTGGCTTTGGATCGGCGTAGCTCCGGCCGTAGGGGCCATTTGGGGAGTGAACCAACGGAAGGAAGACCTTTCTCTCTCTTTCTCTCTAACTCTGTCAAATAAATAATTTTTTAAAAAAGATTTATTTATTTATTTGAAAGGCAGAGTTACAGAAGGCAGAGGGAGGGAGGGAGGGAAGGAAGGAATAGGGGAGAGGGAGAGAGAGAGAAAGAGAGAGAGTCTTCCATCTGCTGGTTCACTTCTTAGATGGCCGCAATGAACAGAACTGCACCGATCTGGAGCCAGGAGCTTCTTCCAGATCTCCCATGTGGATGCAGGGGCCCAAGGACTTAAGCCACCTTCTACTGCTTTTCCAGGCCATAGCAGAGAGCCAGATGGGAAGTGGAGCAGCTCAGATTCAAACTGGCAGCTATATGGGATGCTGGCACTGCAGGTGGCGGCTTTACCTGCTACACCACAGCGCCGGTCCTGAGGATGCACATTTTTAATCTAGAAGTGACTGCTAACAAAAAAAACAAAAAAAAAACAAACAAAAAAAAAGCATGGCTCATAAGCTAATAGAGAAAATAAAGCAGAATATTGAAGAATATTCAATTAATCAAAAATTAGCAATAGAAGGACAGAAAAACAAGAAATGGAAAATACTAAGATTGAGTTGAATATAATATTTAAAATTATATAAAAATGGATTTTTAGAGAATTGGAGGTACAGGATGTACAGATGGAAAATAAACAGCAAAATAGTTGACTTAAACCAAACCATTTCAATAATTACATTACAAGCAAATGAACAAACAATCCAATCCAAAGACAGAGAACATCAAACCAGGATAAGGACTTGCTGCCTGAAGTCCTTTTTAAATTTAAAGACAAAGACAAATTGAAAATTAATGAATTTTAAAAAAAGTTTACCATGCCAAGTAAGCTTAAGAAGGCTCTTGTAGCTATATTAAGATCTCACAACAGAGATTTTCAAGATTTCATAATAATACTAGAAGCCATTCATCAGAAAGACACATACTTAAACAAACACACAATTTGAAACAGCTTTATATGGAGTGGAATGGTGGTTTCCAGAGGCTGGAGAGTGGCGGGAGTAGGGAAGTACTCATTAAAGGGTACAAAGCAGGGCCAGTATAATGCATCTCACAAGGGCACCAGTTCGAGTCCTGGCTGCTCCACTTCTGATCCAGCTCCCTGCTGATGTGCCTGGGAAAGCAGCTGAAGATATCCTTACTACTTGGACCCCTGCACCCATGTGGGTGACCTGGATGAAGCTCCTGGCTCCAGGCTTTGGCCTGATCCAACCCTAGCTGTTGTGGCCATTTGAGGAGTGAATCAGTAGATGGAAGATCCCCCTGTCTCCCTATTTCTCCCTTTGTCTAACTCTGCCTTTCAAATAAATAAATAAATATTTTTTAAAAAAAAGGTACAAAACTTCAGAGAGACAAGAGAAATAAGTTTTTGAGATCTATCACACAGCCTAATGACTACAGCAAATAACAATGTATATCTCAAAAATAGCTATGAGAAATTTCAAATGTTTCAGTACAAGAAAGGGTAAGTGTACAGGTGGATGGATATATTACCCTGAGCTAATCATTCACAATATATATATATATATATATATCAAAACATCACATGTATCCCATAAATGATTTATTAATTTAAAATAATATATAATGATAAAAAGCTTTAGGGGAAAACAAAGCTTCAAGTTCATGACACAAAACTTCAAAGAACTAGAGAAAATTCATCACGTTATGATGTTAAAAAAAAAAATCTATGTATCTGACAGATCAAGTAGACTATGACGCCCCTCATCAAAAAAACAAAATGAAAAAACCCTCCAAACAACCAAAGCAGGAAGGACCCACAGCATCTTAACTTCACCATCAGCCAACTTGACGTCAGCTGACTTTCAGAACACCATGCCTGACAACTGCAAATTCAAGTCACAGGGATGTTCACCGAGACAGACCTAGTAAGTAAGAGGCAGAACATGCATAGCGCAGGGGCCTACGTCGTGACACAGCAGGCAAAGCTGCCACCTACAATGCTGGCATCCCACATGGGTGCCAGTTCGTGTCCCAGCTGTTCTACTTCCGATCCAACTCCCTGTTGATGGCCTGGGAAAAGCAGTGGAAGATGGCCCAAGTTCTTGGGCCCCTGCCTCCCACATGGGAGACCTGGATGAAACTGCTAACTCCAGTTTCAGCCTGGCCTAGCCATGGCAGTTGCAGCCAATCTGGGGAGTGAACCAGTGGATGGAAGGATGGAAGACCTCTCTCTCTCTCTCTCTTTCTGGGGAGTGAACCAGTGGATGGAAGATCACCCCGCCCCCATTCTGCTTGTCTCTCTGTAACTCTTTGAAATAAATGAAAAAGAAATAAGAAAATATATTGATATTTCCTCGTACATGCAGAAGGAAATTCTGGAAGAATATGTAAGAAACTAATTACCTATGTGTACATTTAGTGAGTGGGAAGGTGGAAAGTGGAAAATGGGGTAGCAGGAACATTTTACTATTCTGTAACATTTTTTCAAACATGACGTGAATTATTTATTCAAAATATTAAACCAAGTGAGTACAGTGACATATTAACCACTTGACCAAAATATGTCAAGAATCTTAGAACAAATTCTGAGAAATTTTATCAGAATTTTTTCTAAGGAAAGGATCAGGGGTGCACACCAAGATTTAGCTACAAAGGACTTCATGAAGGCACTTAAAAACTGTCTAAGTACAGCTATTCATTAATACGAGTAATTAAACTGTGGCATATCCGTGGACAGAATGTTTCGCATGTTTTAAAAAATATTTATTTGAAAGAGTTATAGACAGAGGTAGGGAGGCGGAGATGTCTTCCACCCACCAGTTCACTCCCCAGATGGCTGCAAGGGCCAGAGCTGAGCCAGGAGCTTCCTCCCATGTCAGTGCAGGGGCCAACAGCTGGGCCATCTGCTGCTGCTGCTTTCCCAGGCACAACAGCAGGGCGCTGGCTCGGAAGTGTGCAGCCGGCACCTGAGCTGGCGTCCATATGGGATGCCCGGGCTGCAGTCTGGGGCTTTGACCTGCTGTGCCACATTGGCGGCCCCTGTTTTGTGTCTGTTAGAAAGGCACTGTGGGGTACTTCATGACCAGTGCGGGAGCCCACCGAGGGTGAGAAATGCCCAGCCGTAGGGCTGAGGATCCCCGAGGCTAGTTTGGGGCTGCAGAATCGGAGGGGAGTTTGATGTTCTCTTCTAGAGTTCCTAAAACATGTTTATCAACAGAAGAATGTAACATTCATCGTTTGAAAGAACAGAAGGAAGTAAAGAAAATACACCATTTTCCAGTAAACCTTTTCTTTCCCGCGGGGCGACCTCACCATGGCCGGGGTCCCTCCGTCCGCAGGTGCACCGCTGCCACGGCCGCCTCCCGCCTCGGGCCTCTCTGACCGCGGCCGTCTCTCGGGAAGCCCCGACGGCGCCCCGGCCGGAACAGCGTCACACCGTCGCGCACCGATTCTCCTGGTGACTGAACTTTTCTTCGTATCTCACTTTCTCCCGAGCTGTCAGAGCCATCGCTAAGGGGCTTACATCTTCTTCCTGGCTGCGAGAAGCAAACAGCGTCACGGGTCTGGAAAACACGACCGCTCACCCTCCTGGCGGCAATGGCGCCACGCTGCGGAGCGAGCTTCTATAGCCCAGGGAGATGGCAGCTGAGCAGTGGACAGAACAGGAAATCTACAAGCCAGAGCTCCACGTCAACACTCCCCACCATCCCCTCTGCCGCTGAGGCCCCAGCCCCAACACGGCGCGCCACCGCTCTGAAAACTGGCAGAGGCGTCTGCACCGTGCCTTAACGAAAAGCACTTCAGGTTTAAAAACTCACTTTTAGCCCAAAAATGTCCTCTGGAACATAGCGCTTTATGAAAACTGCCGCCACAGAACACTCTCCACAGTCAACTGGAGTGTGAAATGCCTGTCGGAGTCTGAAGAACAGGCGCAGGTACCTTTGTGGCTCTCAGTTTTACAGACGCGCTTTCACTTGCTTCACTTGCAGAAGTGCTCAAGCTGTAGGAAAGAACAAGCCATCAGTATCTTGCACACATTCGCACACGGTTCTACGAGCTGCTCCCCCGACACGAGCACCGCTCAGTTTACTGTGGAGCTAGCCAGTTTGTCACGGGCAGGCCGGTCGCCTTCCTAGATTCATTGGCCGCCTCCCAGACCCAGCCACATTGGTTTGTCCCAGGCGGGCAGACGGCAGCGCTCCAGGGCTGCTGCAGTTTGGTCATGTCTGAGAACTGCGCCTTCCTCCAGATTACCAGGGCCGTCCTCTGTACCAAAAGCTAATCCACTAGATTCAACTCTGGTGATCAAACAGGGAATCTCCTCTTTCGCCCTAAAAGTAACCCTGACTTCTGATGGAAGGTGAGAATTTTCATCTTTTCATTCAATACAATCCATCAAACACGTAACATCAACCACAAATGCACTCACTTTAAAACTGAGGCCTCAGGTGGGCGTTTAGGCTAGTGATGACTATGCCCAAATTCCACACCTGAGGACCTGGGTTTCATACCTGGTTTCTGAGAAATGCTATTGGTCTCTCTGTAGTGGGTGCGTCCCTGCTGCCCCAACTTCCTTTTCTGTTTACCTGCATTACTTACCCAAATGATGTCTCTTGTTGGGACTTGACATGACACCAAAACCAAGGTTACCAAGAACAGTCTCTGGTTAAATGCAAAGAACGCTCAGGCCTCGCCTCACGTGCTTCTCAGCTGCATTTGACCCTCCTTACTTAATTTCTCTCCCTCCCTCCTCTCTCCCATTTCCCTCCCCCCACCTCTCTCACACACACACAATTCTGTGAATAAACACTGCCCTGGTTCTCCTCTCTCTTTTCCAGCCACTTTCCCCCTCTCTCCTCTACAACTTCCTTCTCTACTCAGGCAGTAGATGCCATGGCCTCTTATGGGTTAGTCCCAGGCCCTTGCCTCCTCTCAGGTTAGCTTCATACCATCCACGTGCAAAGAACGTCTAACTCCAGCTCAGCCCTGTGCTCTGAGTTCCAGACTCAAATACACAGGGTCTCTGACATCTCCACGTCAAACTGATGATCTGCCCACACAACTCCATGTCCCAGCAGCCCGTATCTTAGTCAATGGCACCATCATCAATCCATTCAAGCAGGCAAGGAATTCAGGAGTTACCTCCGGTAGCAACTCGTCCCGTGCTGCAAAGTCAGCGCATCACTAAGTCTTGCTCATTTGCATCCTACTTCTCAAGTCCATCCACTTCTCTCCACCTCTGCCGTGATGACCTGAGTCTACAGCATCCAAACTGGGCTCCCTATGCCATTCTTGTCTCTCTCAAATCCACTTGCCAGACAGCAGCGAGGCTGGTAATTTTTAAATGTAGATCCTACCATGTCATCCCCTACTTAAAACCCTCCAACTGCTCTTAGGATAAGGATAAAACTCTCTTTACCAAGTTTACGAGAGAGAATTAGGATGGCTGCACATTGTAAAAAATATATTCCCAAAATGGCTCAGATAAGACACTTGTCTTTCCTTCTTGGCCAAACTCCAGAATAATTTAGGGCTGGTGTAGTAGTCCCGTTATCAGGAGACCCAGGTGCCTTCTATCCATTGCTCTCTCAGTACACTGCCTCACGGCCCAACATGGTTGCTCGGTCTTCACCACCACATCCCATTCTAACCAGGAGGAAGAAGGATGGAAAACAGAAGAGCACAATCCTCCCCACAAAGAGACTTTCAGAAGTGAGACTCCATTTTAGCTAGAATCTAATCACACACACACACACATCTCAGCTGCAACAGCACGGAGACAGTATGTTTAGAATTCTGACAGCCATGTGTCCAGCTAAAACCATTCATTACTAGAAGGGGGAAAAATATTCCTATTACTACAGCAGAAGGAAACAAACGAGACCACTACAGGCAGGTATTCTGGGTCATTCAAGTGTCAATTATGTTAATTACAAAAATTATTATAGGTAAGGCCAATTATAGAGAAATTAGTTTTTAATGTTCACATTCTCAAAATAAATGTCAAAACTTGGGTTTTATTAGCTTCTAACTTGAAGAACTTCCCAGAAATCTCAGAGCGTGAACCAACAATGGCTTGACGTAACCCTACCTTTCTTTCGTTGCTTTTCCTGGAGGAGTTGAAGGGACAGATGACCCACAGTGTTGGGAGAGTTCTTCTTCATCAGCATATATAGCAGTGCTGTGTAGGGGAGGATCTATACAAGACCAAAAATGTACAACTTCAGTGGTCTATGTGGGCAGTGTCCATTCCCTGATACTGGAGTACTTCAGTGGTCTATGTGGGCAGTGTCCATTCCCTGATACTGGAGTACTACACCATCTTGGTTTAAATGGTTAACAAAACCAAAATCAGTCCTACAGGCCACTCCCAAATGCTTTTCCATATCACTCCCCTTCCTCTCTTTCACTCTGGGCTGCTAGAGCCTTTGAATGGCATAAAAAGTCACCTCGAATGAAGAAGATGACCAAAGAACTGGTCCTGGTAGAAAGGCATAGAAAGGAGATGCTTGGAGGAGGGAGGATGCTCTGGCTGCCCAGGAAAGGGGAGTACAGGAGACCTCGGTGCACTAGGCTGGGCTTATGGTGGTAATGAACTTGGCGGGGCAGTGAGGTGGCCAGAAGTGCTGCAGGGGGAGGGGGTCCTGGTAAGACTCAAACTACTATTTCTTCAGGCTCAAATTTTAGCACACCAGTGCAAATGCAAGCAAAATTTTCCAGATATACAGGTGCTTAAATAATGAACTGTCAATTGCACAAGTTATTTTTTTGCGGGGAGGATTAAAATGTTTATTTTGGAGCAAAAAAAATATCTATGCATAAGCAGAATATTCAGAAAGCTCACAGAAAAAATTTTATAAAATATGTACACGGGCCAGCACTCTTGCGCAGTGGGTTAATGTCCTGGCCTGACACGCTGGCATCCCTTATGGGCACCAGTTCAAGACCCGGCTGCTCCACTTTTGATCCAGCTCTCTGCTATGGCCTGGGAAAGCACTGGAAGATGGCCCAAGTCCTTGGGCCCCTGCACCTGTGTGAGAGACCCAGAAGAAGCTCCTGGCTCCTGGCTTCAGTTCGGTGCAGCTCTGTCCGTCACAGCCATCTGAGGAGTGAACCACCACATGGAAGACCTCTCTCTGTGCCTCTCCTCTGTGTAACCCTGACTTTCAAATAAATAAAATCTTTAAAAAAATCATGTACATATTTCAATTTTTTGTACCAAGTTAATCTTTTGTTTCCCACTACCTTCTGAAGATATGTGTGTATGTGTGCATATATGTAGACAGACAGACATAGCATTGGGCAAGACAAACTGACCATCTTCCCCACCCCTCCCCCAATCCCTTGAGATAGTCTCCCTTCTTCAATATGTGTTTATTCAGGTCTGTGCTGGGCCACACACGGAAAGGGAACCTCATCCGACTTGCGTCCTCACTGAGGAGGGCAACATTCCTCCACGCCCCCATCTCACGCCCACTCCAGGGTCTCCTCAGGAAGTGCTGCAAGGCTGGGGTGCAGTCAGGCTCCAAGGCCCTGCCTGTGGTCCTCAAACACGGGGTGTGACTAAGAAGGAGCCGGAAGCCCTCTGCCGGCCAGAGGAGAGTGGTAAGTGAGGGGAGGGACGAGCCCAATACAACACGTGCCTTTCCCCGCCCCCTCCAGTTTTGCTGCTTCCAGCAGGCATGCAAAGCCCAGGCGGAAAACCAGGAACCCGAGGAGGGGAAAGAGGAGAGATGGAGGCAGAAGAGAACGAGGCTGGGGGCTCAGGTCAGGCAGGCCAAGCCAGCGCTGGGGCCCCAGGAGCGGGACGGGAATCATGACTCGCACCTCTCTGCTCCCTGACAGATGAGGGCGAGAAGGGCAGCGGCAGTGAAGACGCATGCTCGGGCAGCGAGAGTGAACAGGAGAGAGGTGACAGGGACGAGGCGAGTGACAAGAGTGGCAGTGGCGAGCAGGAGAGCCCAGGCCTCCTGGGACAAGCAGATGATCTGGCTGCGATGCCGATCTAGAGGACGATGCCGACTCTGACGAGCACGATGAGCCTGTGGTGCAGTGACAGTGACTCGGACAGCAGCGGAGACGCAGGTGCTTAGCGGAGTCACAGGCAGAGCGCCAGTCCCCGCCCCCGTGGCAGGGAGCACTTGGCCCAGGGGGACACCAGTGAGCCTGCAGCCTCTCTACTCTCTTCACCAGGAAAGGAGTTATTTACCCTGCTGCTGTGAATAACAACAAAACAACAGACAAATCCCAAATCTCCAAGTGGAACCATACCAACTGAATGTTTACAACCAGCCAAGAGGAAACGCCCGAGTCTGGGTGGGATAACTGACAGGGGGCTGGGTTCCCGTGACTTGGGAGCCTCGTGTGCTATGACTGTGAAAACACTGGCTGCATCGGAGGGCGCAGGGTGTGGCTGGGTCTCTGGGCAGTCACTGTGGCGGCTCCACATGCTGGAGGCCCCTGATTCCCTGGTGAGGGTCACTGCTACAGGATCCATGTCCACCCCGAGGACTGCAGGGATACTTTGAGTTGTTCTCGTGGCAGCATGGATGAGAGTTGTACCCACTGGGGCTATTGCCCAGGCGCTGGTCTCCTTAGAGAGGAAGGGAGCATGAGAATATACCAACATAGCTGAACAAACTTCCCCTCTGATAAAAAAAAAAAATTTATCACACCTAACTTGGGTGTCACCTTGGACACATCCCTCACCCCAGAGCACTGAACAGACTTCCCTGACCACACCTAGCACACGCTCGGGTTATTACTGAAACAGCAGAGGCAAAGTTCAAAGATAAAAGCCATCACAGGGCCAAAAGAAACAAACAAACAAAAAAACCCAACAACTATCACCACAAATACCTAATAATAAATGCAGAAATTCAAGAAACAAGGATAAGGACAACATGACAGCCCCAAAAGAACACAACACTTCAATACCAGAATGTGAAGATGAAGAGACTGACAAAACACCAGAAATGGAATTAAAAAACTAATCACAGGATTACCTAGAAGTAATCAGAAGCAAATTCATTAACTAAAGAAACCTGTACATGGCATGAGTGAAACTTTTTCCCATGAAACTGAGATTTTACAGAGAAGTGAAAAGGAATTATTGGAAATGAAGGATTCAGTAGAACCAATAAAAGTACTATGGATAGCCATAAGAACAGACTTGATAAGGCAGAAGAGAGAATATCCAAGTTAGAAAACAAATCTTTGGAAATTTTACAGACAAAAAAAAAAGGGGGGGGGGGAGAAATTGGAAAACTGAAAAACACCATTAGAATTTATGGGATACTAACAAATGACCCAACATACAGGTCTTAGGAGTTCCTGAAAGGGTGGAAAGACGGAATGGATTAGCAGGCCATTTTAGTGAAATAATTACATAAAGAAAGGGATGTCCAAAAAGGAAGCACTTAGAACTCCTAATAGACACGATCAGAAAAGATCTTCGCCACAAAACATTGTAGTCAAACTCTCCACAGTAAAGCATAAAAGATTCTAAAATGTGCATGAGAGAAATGCCAGGTTATTTTCAGAGGATCTCCAATTAGACTCACAGCTGAATTCTCTTCAGAAATGAGATATATTCCAAGTCTTAAGAGAAAAAAACTGTCAACCTGGAATACTGGACTCTGCAAAGCTCTCATTTACAAATGAAGGTGAAATAAAGACCTTCCACAACAGAGATTGAGTTTGTCAGTACTCGTCCAGCCTTACAAAAGGTACTTAAGGATGCACTACACACAAAAACATGGTCATCACTATGAAAGAAGATGAGGGCGGAAAATCTCCCAGTAAAAGTACAAAGGAAATCCAAAGTAAACAATAGGAATGTTTATGGGGAAATGGCAGGGCCAAGTCCTTACTTATCAATAGTCAACTTGAATGTAAATGGCCTCAACTCTCTAGTAAAAAGGCACAGACTGGCTGAATGGATTAAAAAACAAAACCCATCTATCTGCTGCCTACAAGAAACACATCTCACCAACAAAGACACATGCAGACTGAAAGTCAAAAGATGAAAAAAGATATTCCATGATATCAGAAACCAAAAAAGAGCTGATGTAGCCATCCTAATATCAGACAAAATATATGTTCACACAAAAACTGTTAAAAGAGACAATGAAGGCACTATGTAATGATTAAGGGCTCAACTCAACAGGAAGATGAGACTATTATAAATGTTTATGCACCTAATTGCAGGTCACCCACTATTTCAAAGAAATGTTAATGGATCTAGAGAGAGACATAGACTCAAATACTGTAGTAGCTGGGACTTGAATATCCCACTTTCAGGGCAGCCCTGTGGCGCAGTGGGTTAACACCTGGTCTGAAGCGCTGGCATCCCATATGGGCACTAGTTCAAGACCTGGCTGCACCACTTCCAATCCAGCTCTCTGTTATGGCCTGGGAAAGCAGGAGAAGATTGTCCAAGTCTTTGGGCCCCTACTCCCACGTGGGAGACCTGGAGTTAGCTCCTGGCTCCGGATCAATGCAGCTCCGGCCATTGCGGCCAATTGGGGAGTGGACTATCAGATGGAAGACCCCTCTCTCTCTTTCTTTCTCTCTCTGCCTCTCCTCTCTCTGTGTAACTCTTTTGAATAAATAAAGCTTTTTAAAAAATCCTACTTTCAGCAATGGACAGATCAAGCAAACAGAATATCTGCAAGCAAACAGTAGCGTTAACACTATAGACCAAATGGACCAAACAGATAACTACAGAACTTTTCATCCTACAAATGCAGAATGCACATTCTTCTCACCAGTGCATGGAACCTTCTCTAGGGTAGACCACATGCTAGGCCATAAAGCAAGTCAAAGCAAATAAAAAAATCAAAATCATATCATGCATCTTCTCTGACTACAATGGAATGAAGCTGGAAATCAGCAACTCAGGAATCTCTAGAACATATGCAACACATGGAGACTGAACAATATGCTCCTGAATGAACAGTGGGTCACTGAAGAAATCAGAAAAGAAATTGAAAAATTTCTGGAAACGAATAAAGATGAAAATACAACATAGCAAAACTTATGAGATATGGCAAAAGCAGTGTTAAGAGGAAAGTATATAGCAACTGGTACCTATATCAAGAATTAGCTCTTTTATTTGGTATCTTTCTATCAATGCATCTCAATGATGTAGAAAAACAATAACAAACCAAACTCAAAAACAGTACAAGAAAAGAAATAATGAAAATTAGAGAACAAAAATATTGAAACCCAAAAATTCAAAAGATCAGAGAAAAGAGGAAAAAAAAAAAAGAGGAGACCTAAATCAATGAAATTGATATGAAAAAGGATATGGAATAGATACCACAGAAATAAAAACAATCATCAGAAACTACTACAAATAGCTGTATGCCAACAAAATGGGAAACCTACAGGAATGGATAGATTGTTGGACACATACAACTTACCTATATTGAGCCATGAAGACACAGAAAACCTAAACAATAACCAAAACAGAAACTGAATAATAACAACTCTCCCAGCAAAGAAAAGCCCAGAACCCAATGGCGTCACTGCTGAATTCTACCAGACATTTAAAGAAGTACTAACTCCAATTCTTCTGAAGCTATTCAAAAACAATTAAAAGGGACAGAATCCTCCTAAATTCTTTCTATGGAGCCAGCATCACCTTAAATCCTAAACCTGGAAAAGATACAACAGAGAAAGAGAACTACAGACCCATTTCTCTGATGAATATAGATGCAAAAATCCTCAAAAAATATTATCCAATCAAATCCAACATCAGAAAGATCATTCACCTAGACCAAGTGGGATGGTTCAACATTCACAAATCAATGTGATACAGCACATTAACAAATTGAAGAACCAAAACCATATGATTATCTCAATAGATACAGAGAAAGCATTTGACAAAGTTTAACAACCTTTCATGATGAAAACTCTAAGCAAATTGTATATAGAAGAAATATTCCTCAAGGCAATGTATGAAAATCCCAAGACCAGCTTCATAGTGAATGGGGGAAAGTTGGAAGCATTCCCACAGAGATCCAGGACCAGACAAGGATACCCACCCTCATTATTGCTATTCAATATCGCCCTGGAAGTTTTAGCCACAGCCATTAGGGAAGAAAAAGAAATCAAAGGGATACAAATTGAAAAGGGGGAAGTCAAACTATCCCTGTTTAGAGATGACATGATTCTATATATAGGGGATCCAGAAGACTCCACTAAGAAACTACTGGAAATCATAGAAGAGTTTGGTAAAGATCTCTACAATGAAAATTATAAAACATTAAAGAAACAGAAGCCACAAAAAAGAAAAAAAAAAAAAAGGAAAATCTTCCATGTTCATGGATTGGAAGAATCAGTGTCATCAAATTGTCCACACTAGCAAAAGCAGTTTACAGATTCAATGCAACCAACCAACATGCCAAGGACATTCTTCTCAGATACAAAAAAAAAAAAAAATGCTAAAATTCATATAGAAACACAGGAGACCTCGAATAGCTAACGGAATCCTATACAACTAAAACAAAGCTGGAGGCATCACAATACCAGATTTCAAGACATACTACAGGGCAGTTAGAATCAAAACAAACTGGTACTGGTCAAAAACAGACGGATAGACTAATGGAACTGAATAGAAATGCCAGAAATCAATCCACGCATCCATAGCCAACTTATCTTTGACAAAGGAGCTAAAATCAATCCCTGGAGCAAGGACAGTCTCTTCAACAAGTGGTGCTGGGTAAACTGGATCTCCACACGCAGAAGTATGAAGAAGGACTCTTACCTTCACCTTATACAAAGATCTGCTCAAAATGGATTAAAGATCTAAATCTACGATGCAATACCATCAAATTATTAGAGAACATTGGGGAAACCCTGAAAGACACTGGCATAGGCAAAGAGTTCTTAGAAAAAAACCCCAGAGGCACAGGTAAGCAAAGTCAAAATTGACAGTGAGATCACATGAAATTAAGAAGCTTCTGTACTGCAAAAGAAACACTCAAAGTGAAGAGGAACCAACAGAATGGGAGAAATTACTTGCAAACTATGATAAAGGATTAATAACAGAATATATAAAGAGATCAAGAAACTCAACAACAATACAAACAACCCAGTTAAGAAACAGGCAAAGGACTCAAACGGGAATTTTTTAAAAAGAGGAAATCCAAACGGCCCACAGACACATGAAAATTGCTCAGGATCACTAGCCATAAGGGAAATGCAAATCTAAACCACCCCTGTTAGAAGAGCTTTCATACAGAAATCAACAAATGCTGGCAAGAATGTGGGGAAAAAGGTACCCTAATCCACTATTGGTGGGAATGTAAACTTGTACAGCCACTGTGGAAGACAGTATGGAGATACCTCAGAAATCTGAATACAGACCTACCATATGACCCAGCCATCACACTCCTTAGAATTTACCCAAAACCAAATTAGCATATGAGAGAGTTATCTGTACCCTCATGTTTATTGCAGGTCCATTCACAATAGCTAAGATGTGGAATCAACTGAAGACTGGATCAAGAAATTATGGGATATGTACACTATGGAATACTATTCAAAAGTAAAAAAAAAAATGAAATCCAGACATTTGCCACAAAATGGATGAAACTGGAAAACGCCTCACTTAGTGAACTACACTGATCCCAAATGCACATACCATGTTGTCTCTGATCTGTGATAATTAACAGAGCATCTAAAAGGTAATCTGCAATAGTGAAATTAATACTTTGAGATGAAATGACTTTGAACAGCCCATGTTGACTGTTGAACATTTTTTTTCTTCATACAATTTGTTGAACTCTTTACGTAGTATAGAGTTAACCGTATGTGTTATAAAGTTAACTGCAAATAGATCTTAGTAAAAAATAAGAATGGGACTAGGAGAGGGAGGAGGAAAAGAGCTGGAAGTATGGGTGGGAGGGCAGGTACAATGGGAAGAATCACTACATTCCTAAAATTGTATTTATGAAATGCGTAAGTTTGTATTCCTTAAATCAAAGTTTTATGGGGAAAAAAACTAAATAAAAAACAGCAACTAAAAAAACACAACGTGAATGTTACAAAATTACACTTAAAATAGTTAAAATTATAAATTTTATGCTGCATTTTTCCATATATACACATAAAGCCACCACATAATTACTAGAATAACTAGAAAAAAATTATATAACAACAACTTTGGAAGAAGATGTGAAGAAATTAGGACCCTCAGAGCTTGCTGTGGAAAAATAAAGTGGTACAGATGCTTTATAAAACAGTGCTTAAGGCCGGTGCCGCAGCTCACTAGGCTAATACTCTGCATGCGGTGCTGGCACCCCGGGTTCTAGTCCCGGTTGGGGTGCCGGATTCTGTCCCGGCTGCTCCTCTTCCAGTGCAGCTCTCTGCTGTGGCCCAGGAAGGCAGTGGAGGATGGCCCAAGTCCTTGGGCCCTGCACCCGCATGGGAGACCAGGAGGAAGACCTGGCTCCTTGCTTCGGATCGGTGTAGCGCACCAGCCATAGCGGCCATTTGAGGGGTAAACCAGAGGAAAGGAAGACCTTTCTCTCTGTCTCAAATACCAAAGTACTCAGCAGTTCCACTCTGAGGTACATGCCCAAGAGAACTGAAAACAGATGTCAACACAAAAACTTGCTCGTGAATGTTCATACAACAGTCATGCATTATGGTCCCTAAGTGAAGACCATGTAAATTTATGCCAACTTATGAATGGATTACAACATGTGGTACACCCATACAATGGAATACCAAGGAATAAAAATGTTTAGGAACAGCCAGATGCATGCTACCATACGGATGAACCTTGGAAACACCATGCTAAGTGAAAATCAATCACAGGGGGTAGGTGCTATGGTGTAGCACTGGCATCCATATGGGCGCCGGTTCTAGTCCTGGCTGCTCCACTTCTGATCCAGCTCTCTGCTGTGGCCTGGGAAAGCAGAAGACGGCCAAACTCCTCTGGTCCCTGCACCTGTGTGGGAGACCCAGAAGAAGTTCCTGGCTTCAGAATGGCACAGCTCTAACCGTTGCGGACAAATAGGGAGTGAACCAGCGGGCGGAAGACCTCCCTCTCTCTCTCTCTCTCTGCCTCTCCTCCTCTCTGTGTAACTCTTTCAAGTAAATAACTAAAAAAAAAGAAAAGAAAGATTTAAATACTAACCAAAAGTCTCATAAGGCTCATCGTCTTTCTTACTTTCACTGCCATTGCTTGAGATTTCGGAATTATCAGGAAACTCAAACACATCAGCAGGCTTGTGCTTCTGACCAGCTTTCTGGAAGTGAAGAAAACCAAAGTCACTGAACTGGTGCTAACGCACACCAGCAGCAAGCTGCTGGACTTAACAAGGACACTCTTGCTCCTGCTGCCGCCTAGAGAAGCTAGCCACTCTGCTGTTCTCCAGGAGACAGAGGCCTCTGGAATTCTAAGGCCGGCCTGGCAAACCTTTTCTACAAAGCACCAGAGAGCATTTCAGGCTTTGCAGGTCACAAGGTTTCCACTGCAGAGGGAAAGCCCGCAGGGACAGCGCAGCCAGGAATGCACAGGGCCGGCTTCCCACACAATCTACTCAGAGATGCAGACCTCTGCATTTCACATCATCTTCATGGCACACAACATATCCTTTTTAGTTTATTTTGGCTATTTAAAAATCATCCTTCGTTCCCAGGCTTGTGTACAAAGAGGTAGTAGGCTGGTTCGGGCCCCCAGGCCATAGCTTGCCTAGATCCCTAAAGAGAACGGTGGGCCGTCTCCCCAGAAACATGCCTGCCACCTGGACGTGCACAGCTCTGGGAGCACAGGGGCGGACAGTCCTGGCTGAAGGAGAGCCTGTGTACAGTTCAATATACGGATCAGGCTCCGGAGGCTGGGGTTCCGGAGGATGCCAGAGGCAGAACAGAGAACAAATGCACTCGCAACTGCCCGACCACCTGGACTTCATGTGAAATTCCAAAGCCACGCGACAGGCCATTGGAAAATAATTTGGAATTAGCTATCAAGAGCATTAAAGAAATGTACCTGCCATTACATACAGGTATTCTAAAACTCTCCTGAAGAAAAATAAAACTGTAACATAGACAACATGGAACCTCATGAAATCACAAGCCATTGTCAGTAACACGGAGAAATGGCTGGGAGGAGTGACAAAATTCAGAAAGCTGTACAATTTTTACACAGTGCTAATTATCTAAATGAAACAAACCTAGGCTTGGAAAAAAAGAAATGTTTCTAAAATGTTAACAAAGGTTCTTTTCTAACAGTGGAAAAAGTGAGAAGAAAAGGAATAAACTTTTTTCACTACCATAAAAGAGCTTATCACAAGAAATACAGAAAACTCTAAGGTCCTCACCAAAGCTTACTTTTATAGTCAACTGTGAGAAAAATCACATTAAAAGCTAAAACGAGAACTTACTTCTTTCATAGGATGTGTTCTTCTTAAAGTGTTCTTTGAATATACTGCACTGAAATAGGAAAAAATAAAAGTTAGGAAATATTTAAAGCAACCAGAGAAAATACCATAACCTGACTCTCTCCAAGTATTGTCTTCCCAAATTACACTGCTCAGTAGCTGCACTAATAGCGCGCATGCAATGGAACTAAAGTTATGATGAAGAAGCAGAACCAATACCCTGCAAACATACAAGTCAAATTATATCACCAATACATATAAAGTGACCACCTCGGTCCCTCAAGATCATGGAAAACTTCTAATCCTGCTGTCACGCTAGCCCCTGCACCCGGATCTGTCAGGGAAGACTGACTCTCCGCAGAGCTGAGCCAAGGGGACGGATACCAACATGGATGAGACTCCTCACACCCATTCCATCTGCGCCTGGCCCAGGGTCACACAGCTTAACAATCCTATGAAGTAGAGGGGGGCCATGTGACAGCTCTGCACGGGCACAGAGCAACAGGCAGCCAGGGAGGAGAGGAGCCTGCAGGAAAACCCCATCGGTTCAAAGCCACAGCCTACCTTCTTCCCACCCCATAACACTCTCCAGTGACCTTGGGCACACCGTAAAACAGATTAAGGTGCGGATCTTCTAGAAGTGAAAAGGAAGCAAATGCAACAACAGTGACTAGACTAACAACTGAAAACACCAGTGGCAAGAAAAACCTATATTAACATCAGCAGTCAGTGAACAAGCACTGAGCACCCTCCACAGCTGAGGCACTGCATGGGGTATTAGAGATACTTTAGTAGAATCCAGTACTAGTTCCTGACTTAAAATACACCTTGCAGTTTTCAAAGACTCCTTTGTGGAGGGCAGTATCAGATTAGTGTGTCTGAACCAATATTCTTCAGGTACTTTATTTGACATGATTTCAAACTGTCTCCCCTGTACCCAGGTTCATCAGTTGCCTTCACCATCTCTTTTGCTTCCTCTGCCTGTGCAAGGTAAGCACTCCTAACTGAAGTACTTCACTATGGCTTCCCTAAGAGGGCATGCACGTGCACAGTCATAGCAGATTTCCAAAATCTAGATATTTCACATTTGCAATGTGATCATCCAACCTACAGTCCATGTCCAAATATCGGCTCTCCAACACCCTTTAGGATTTTCACCCTAGCGTTTTCTTAAAAGGGAAATTCAAGGGAACAGAAAATATAAGATTGCACTGGATAGGATATTTTCATAAACTTTCCGATTTGTTTCATGCGCACCTGCGTACTAACTGCGATGCAAAACATCATTGTGTGAATCACAGTTAAAAAAAAAGAAAGCTGGAACACTGTTTAGAGCAGTGGTCTCACGCCTGGCGCCACCCCCAGTTTCTGGCTCAGTAAGTCAAGGGTTGGGTGGAGAGTTCACACTTCTCAAGTTCCCACGCTTTTTCTGAGTCTCCAAACCTAAAATGGTACAACAAGTATTTGCTCAATGGCAATTTTATGATTCTGGTTATAATTCAGAGGTTCAGGAAAGCTAAATGACTTATCAATGATGGTAACAGGGAAGTTGTAGTTCAATTAAATTTAGACGAGTTTATTTGGGCAAAGCAAAACCAGAAACAATTAGGGAATGGAGCAGCCCCAGAACCATAAGCAAGTTCTGAGAACCACCAGCAACCTGAGCGATCACACATCATTAACTTAATTGGCTGCAGCCTACCCAATCAACCAATTGGTAACACCTTATCCAGTTCATTGCATACAGCCCAGTTAGTTAACTGCTACAGAGCTTTCCCCCAGCCACCTAAGCCCAGTGACCGGCTTGACGTTCAGTTCAAATCCATGGCCTCCCACAAAAATCCAGCAATGGCCACACAGTCAAGTAACGTCAGCAGGAAGCAGAAACCACATCAGTACGCGTCTTAACCTAAATTATTTCCAGCTGTCTCTTGCGTGTGCTCAAATCAAACAATACGCCTTCAGCTGGAGTCCAGGTGAGGCTTCGTTCAAGAAGGACGCTTGAGACAACCGTGTTTTCCTGTGCATTTTTGAGGGAAGGGCTCAACACATGCCCTAAGTCTCCATCTCTAACAGGTTTTTAAAAACCTTTCGGCGCCTGGATGCCCTGTAGACAACGCTAGAGAGCCCGGGTGTCCACTCACGAATCTGTGAACGACGAATACGACGTACTTTCCAATGCATGCCCCTTTTGAGAAAAGTTGCTCCCCGACCTGGAACACTCCCGAAGCGGCAGCTCGGTCCCCGGGCAGGGGTGAGGGCCAGCGTTACAGTCTGCGCTTTGGGGTACGAAGGCAGACACGACCCGCAGGGCTGCAGCCCGTCACGTCTGGGGAACAGCAGGCACCAAGCGCCCGCGACCCTCAGCCCCACGAACCCCAAAGTCTCTCCCACCCGCCAGGCCAGGCGTCACGCCCTGACTCCTCCTAGGAAATCTGCACTGAGAGATGCAAACCGAGGCCCTGGGCGAGCTGTCACTTCGACAAGGAAGCTCCACCAGCGCAGCCCCAAAGGCTCAAACCGCGTCAGTCGGAGCGGGACCCGCAGCTCTTACCCCGCACGCCTCCGGGACCGCACCCGGCCCGGCGGAACCATCGGGCTGTTCTCTGCTCCCGCGGCGCCCACGAAACTCCCGCCAAGCCCCGCGCCGTTTAGAACGGCCAATCCGGGCCGCGCACGCGCCCCGCCTCCCCTCGGCCTGGGTCCCCGCCCAGGGCCCGTGCCTCACGTCCGGCCTTGGGCGTAAGTGAAAACGTGGTCCGGATCAACAACTGCAACGGAGCTGGAGGCCAGGCCTTCACGCTGCCGCTGACGGGCCACCAGAAGGAATCCCACTTTTCCGGGTTTTCCCTCCCTCCCTAGCCCGGGGCCTGTTACTCAACGCTGGGACCTGGACCCGCTGGGCCCGCCCACGGGGGCGGGGCTAGTGCTGAGACGTGGGCGGGCGCGCAGCAGGAAGGGGCGGATCCCAACCCGAGGCCCCAACTGTAGCTGCAGGGGCCTTGTGCAGTGCGCAGGTGCGTTGAGCTGAGAAAGTGGATTGAGCCACGAGGCCCCGGGGGGCGTTAGTAGCAGCTGCGTGAGCCCTGTGTGTCCTGCTTCCCTCCCCAGATATCTGTAATGGGGCGGGTTCCTATGGGAGCGGATAGTCTGCGATTCTTTTCTTTCTGTTTAAAAAGGCGTTATAATTCAAAAAGATGAATTTGCATATAAATAAGATGAATGTAAAAATATAAATCTATGAGAATGTAAATATAAAATGAACTCAAAATGGATCAAAGATCTAAGTGGAAGAGCTCAAAGCACAAAACTCTCAGAAAGGAGGCCCGTGCTGTGGCGGAGCAGGTAAGGTCATCGTGTGCAGTGCTGGCATCCCATTTGGACGCTGGTTCCTGTCCCGGCTGCTCCACCTCCGATCCAGCCCTCTGCTCTGGCCTGGGAAAGCAGTAGAAGATGGTCTAAGTCCTTGTGCCCCTGCACCCGTGTGGGAGACCCAGAAGAAGTGCCTGACTTCAGATCAGCTCAGCTCAGCCCCTTGCAGCCAATTGGGGAGTAAACCAGCAGGTGGAGGATCTCTCTCTCTCTCTCTCTCTCTCTCTCTCTCTCTCTCTCTGCCTCTCCTCTCTGTAACTCTTTCAAATAAATAAATAAATCTTAAAAAAAAAAAAAAAACTCCTTAGAAGAAAAATAGCGCAAAAGCTTCACAAAATTGGTAATGAAAAGATTCTGGAGATGAAAACTGGATGGCTGAGCAGCCACATGACTCTGCTTAGTGCCATAGAACTGTTCAATTAAAAAACATTTAGCCATGATTTTTGGCAAAGGGTTTAAGATGCCCGTTTAGGAGGCCTGGATCTCATTTTGGTGTGCTTGGGTTCTGTTCCCACCTGGCTGATTCCAGCTTCCTGGTAATGCAGCTCCTAACACGAGCTTCCTTGTTCAAAGAAAACTCATTTATTTGAGAGAGTGAGAGGGACACACACACACACACACACACACACACAGGTCTTCCATCTGCTGGCTCACTCTCCAAATGGCTGCAAAGGCCGGGGCTGTCCCAGGAGAAGCTGGGAGCCCAGAACTCCTTCTGGGTCTCCCATGGGGACTCAAAACAGCACCCATATGGGATACCAGTGTTGCGAGCAGCGGGTAACTGACAGCACAGTGCCTGCCGTTCCCCAGCTGCCTTGTACTGTGCACTCTGGGAGGCAGTGGTGATGGTTTCAGTACTTTGGTCTCTGCCACCCACAGGGAGACCCAGATTGAATTCCCTGCTCTAGCTTCTTTGCCTGGCTCAGCCCTGGCTGTTGTGGGCATTTGGGGGTGAGCAAGTGAATGAGAGAGCTATCTCTGTCTTTCTCTCCCTCCCTTTCAAATGAACGAAATAAGTAATTTTAAATGGTTAAAATGCTACATTTTGTATGAATATTTGCACTACAAAATGCAACATGTGACATGCATACACAAGTATAAAACATATAAAGAGTAGGGTGAGCGTGCCTACAACCACCACCGAGTTAGCGTACATAACTGGGATGCTGGTCTATTAGTCCTCTGAAGAACAGACACTCTTAGGAGTTTATGTTGATCACTCCTATGCTGTTCTACCCTGATACAACCCTGGATAATGTACCAATTATCGGATGTTTCTAAATGACTTTTGTAGGTATTTGGGAGTTCTCTTTCTTACTTAGAGCTATGCTTTTTATTTTTTTTATTTCATTTTATTTTATTTTATTGACAGGCAGAATTAGACAGTGAAAGAGAGAGAGAGAGAGAAAGGTTTTCCTTCCGTTGGTTCACCTCCCAAATGCCGCTATGACCGGTGCACTGAGCCGATCCGAAGCCAGGAGACAGGTGCTTCCTCCTGGTCTCCCACACTGGTGCAGGGGCCCAAACACGTGGGCCATCCTCCACTGCACTCCCGGGCCACAGCAGAGAGCTGGACTGGAAGAGGAGCAACCAGCACTAGAATCTGGTGCCCATATGGGATGCCGGTACCGCAAGGCAGAGGATTAACCAAGTGAGCCATGGTGCCAGCCCCCAGAGCTATGATTTTTAGATTTACTCACATTGTATCCACATCCATATGTAGCTGAAGTTCATTAATTTTCATTGCCTTCTAAAATGCATTTAGTAACTATACCACAGTTAATCTTTACTTCTTGTGTACGCATACATCAGTTGTTTTCAGTCTTGGTATCATCAACAAGGTAGTCCTGAACATTCTTGTGCATGTGTGCATGCATGTCTCTTTGAAGAAGCCTGGATCTTCTTCTGGGTCTCCCCAGTGGGTGCACTTGAGCCGTCGTCCACTGCATTCTCAGGAACATTAGCAGAGAGCTGGGTAGGAAGTGGAGCAGCCGGGTCTGGAACTGGCACCCAAATGAGATGTTAACATCACAGGAGGGGTCTTTACCAGCTACACCATACTGCTGCCCCTCCCCCCGTTGCATTTTGATTTTCCTGTCCCTTAAGGTGTCATCTCTTCATCGTTTACAGCTCATTCCCATTTCCTCTTCCATGATGCGCTTGTGCAGGCTCCTGGGCAGCAGCCATGAAAGGGTAATGACCCTTAGGGACTGCAGGTAATTTCCCCACCAACAGGAAGAAACAGGGTTCTTGGAGGGGACTGGGTTGGAAGCTCCAAATTCCAGGCAAGGGGGGATAATGAAACTTCTGTGCTTGCAGGCCTGAAAAATGAAACTTCCCAGCTATGAAGACAGGAAGAGTTTCAGCATGCTGGATGGAAATAAGACAAGCTCCCCCCAAGCAGGTTTCAGAATGAAAGGAGTTCGTGGGCTTGTCACCGGAAAGCCCTGGGCAGGCTAGGGCATCAAGCTCAGCTTCCCCCCAGGGTCCGGGAGGCATCAGCGCTTCGGATCCGTTTTCTTCTTCTCCTGGTTCGTCAACTCTTCATCAGACCCCGACCCCCGTGTGCCTGTGCCACTATGGAAGCTGTGACTCTCCCTCCCTCCTCCCCTGGCCCAGACTCAGGGATCCGTCACTCTATGCTCTACTTCTATGATGTCAGCCCTTCTGTGATCCCCACACAGGGGAGATGGCCCAGCGTTTGTCTTTCTGTGAGAGCCACCTACCCGTCACCTCCATCACCTCCCCAGGGTGCACACAGGGACCCAAACATCACACGGGACCAAAGCCATGCACACATGGTGAATTTTATTCATGAGAAGCATGTGCAAATGCTCAAGAAAAGAAAAGTTCAGTCAGCTCAGCGGATAGCTCCTGGAGACGGGGGCGGGGCGAGGCTACTTGGGGACCACTCTGCAGCAGCTGCCAGGGCTGCTCCCTCGGGACGGCAGGATGCAGCACGCCCTCAGCAGGAACCGGAGGATCCTCCTGCCGACCCCGCGACGGCCCTGCCTCTTGCCCTGGGCGCTGGCCTTGGTGTCTGTGGTGTCAGCATCCTTGGGCTCACGGGCTGTGGCGGCGGCGGCTTCTGGCTCTGCAAGGTCCACGTGGCTCCCGGCACTGGGGCTGGAGGGCGACGCTTCGGAGGCTGGCTCAGGGGCGGCGCTGGGAACAGGGCTCCACTCTTGCTGTGGCTGGCCTGGTAGGAGAGAGTCAAGTGTGGGGTCACCTCAGGGGGCCTTGGGCTCAGCTCCTGGAGGCCCCGAAGTGGCAGGGGATGTGGGGAGAGGGCAAGACTCACTGGAGGCCTGGGAAGAGTTGGGGGCGGCGCTGGGAGCAGGGCTCCTCTCCTGCTGTGGCTGGCCTGGTGGAGAGAGTCAAGAGTGGGGTCACCTCGGCGGCCTTGGGCTCAGCTCCTGGAGGCCCCGAAGTGGCAGGGGATGTGGGGAGAGGGCAAGACTCACTGGAGGCCTGGGAGGAGTTGGGGTTGGCACTAGGAGCAGGGCTCCTCTCCTGCTGTGGCTGGCCTGGTAGGAGAGAGTCAAGAGTGGGGTCACCTCGGGGGCCTTGGGCTCAGCTCCTGGAGGCCCCGAGTTAGGGGGGAGGGCAAGACTCACTGGAGGCCTGGGAGGAGTTGGGGGTGGCGCTGGGAGCAGGGCTCCTCTCCTGCTGTGGCTGGCCTGGTGGAGAGAGTCAAGAGTGGGGTCACCTCGGCGGCCTTGGGCTCAGCTCCTGGAGGCCCCAAGGCAGGGGGGAGGGCAAGACTCACTGGAGGCCTCGGAGGAGTCGCTTCGTGCGGAGGAAATTTCCACGGACATGCTGTCACAGGACACCGATACCAGAGACAAATGGTCCTTCTCTCTGGTGAGGCGCTCCCCGCCCTCTGAGGACTTGGGCAGGGACGCCGGGCCCTGGGGCTGAGGGCCTGGCGTCCCCTCAGTCCCGGTGCCTGGCAGCAGGCCGAGGCCCGCCAGGTACTCCTTGGCCTCTGAGTCCCGGGGAACGCCCAGGGGCTGCAGCAGGGTGACAGCGGCCTCCTTCTCCTCCTGGGTAGCTTCTTGGCCGGGATCCAACCACCAGTGGGTCGTGGCGTCCTCCGCACTGGGCCTCCCCGA